GAACTGCTCGCACCCTGATTACACGCCTATTCTTACTGATTACCTTGATCGGGCGGAATTCGAGTGTCTGCGTAAGGGTATGGGTCATGAGCCGCATATGCTTTTCCAGGCTTTCAATATGCACAAGAATCTTCAGGAGAAGGGTACCATGAAGATTACTTCTTGGGAGTAAATTGATATGCAATACCTTGTTCTAAAGGCTATGCGTCGGCGTTTGGTAATCTATTAGCGGTTTTGTACATATTATACAATGTTGGAATATAAGTTTTTCCTTTGATTTGTTTGGTAGATTGTAGTGAGATGTATGGAGTAGGTGGCTTGCTGTTAGACAGCTATGTTAGGATAATAGGTAGAGGCACTATTATATGAAGTAGATTTGACTATTAATCTAGTGGACTGCATAATTATGTCTCGTTCATGGATATTACATCTCTGCTGATTCGTGTACAATGTAGAGCATAGAATTCTATATTCAGTCCATACTAAGTTTTGAATCATTTCCTTTGCTATGGAATGAAACCTACTATATAGGAAAGATTGAACATATCTATATTAGATGCAAATAGCATGAACAAGTCAAACTTCGAATAAATTGTATAAAAACCAAATCTTAAATCAAACTCCTAAAAAGACATGGTATAATAACATCTCAAACAAAATCCCAACACCAAAAAGAAAAGCATAAAATCATCTCATCTTAATCCCCTTTTAGTCCCCATATAAGAGTCTAGAATCGAATCTGAACCGGAGAAATACCCAAAAGATCAGATCCCAACGAGTCTAATAAGTCAGCATTATCCAACCCTAAACCCAGATAATATAAACATACCGACTCCAAAGCGACCCAAGAATCCCAGGCTGCGCAGGCTCAGACTTGCGCTGAGCCCAGCCGTGATCGACGTTGTAGTGCTTCACATCTTGTAGTCCGGCGAAAAGGCCTCGTCCGGCTGTTGCGCGCTTTGGGGATGTTAGCTATATACCTATATAGAGGTTGAGGTTGAGGTGGAAGGTGGATACGTACCCGATGCTGTTGAGCGGAACTTCGGACCCAGTAGTCTGCGCCGTAGTCATTTTGTAGACGGGCGTGTTCGCTATCGGTTGTTTTGGTTTGAGCGGGCATTTTGGTTTGTGGGTTGTTGGATTAGGTTGTTGTTGATAGAGTATCAAATCAGATATGAAGTATCAAGTATCAGATATCAGAAGTAGATATTATAGAACGTGTTTGTTAAGAATGTCTTTGATGAAGAACGAACTCGTGCAACATGCCCTTATATACATCAACATCAAAGCGCATAGCATGGCCTGACAGCATCAGCCATCTCAATTCCGACAAGCTGGATCGCGGGATGAGGCTGTCCTGTCTAGGGCATTTGATAGCATGATGTATTCGGATTCGTATTATCCGGGTGGCATCGAGTCAGAAAATACTAGTAGTGGGAGTTGGTGACGTCGGGGATATGGTGCGATTTGCTTTGGATTATCCCATTCTGGGGTTAGTAGTTAGAGAATGAATCCTGTTATCTGACCGATTGTTATTTGAAGTCAGATGATTGGGTGTACTTTTTTTGTGTGGCATGATCGGGTGGCATGGTGATGGTCAGATTTGATCCTTCGATGAAAATAGGAATTACTATCACTTTGGTATAACGATTAGAATATATTAGAGCTGTTGTAGTATCTGGTGTGATAATATTTACTTGGGAGTGCTTGTTGGTATATTGTGCAATTCTGGAGAGTTTCATGAAAGTTGGAAGAGATATATTCAGTGCACTTACTTCAGTTACAATATTTGACAATCCAACACAACACAACAATCCGTTTCTGTCATCGCTGTTGATCCATCCGATTTCATCCACACATTCATGGCTTTTCATACGAATGATGACATTGTCCGGCCGCAAGTCGATTGTGTAGCATAGCAGACGAATGCGGACATCCACCAGACAAACCGCTGCACATAACTACAATAATTGAAAACATCTATCTGGTTAAACAGTGAAGAAGTCAGTTATACAGTCTAACAAATTGATTCATAGATCTAACTATTGATTATATGATATTCTTCCATCGCCGCTGTTATTCCTCGACGTCTATATTTTCATACGGCTTCATCAACCTCCAGCGTCGGGCATACATCAAAGATGAGGTAGGTAATATGTAATCTAGATGAAATGACATTTACCTGAGTATCAGAATGTAGAACCGAGAACCACGATTGTCCACGACGGTCGGGCTGCAGCTGACATGTTGCTTTGTATTCGGACTTCCAGCGCCAGACACGAGAATGACTGGAAGATGGTTGTCGGATCCGTCCCGGGATAAGGATATTAGGCTGGAGTCCATCACTTGACATTTTTCGTGTTTTACATTTCCAGCAAAGAGAAAGAATCGAATGTCTTGCCGACCCAACGATACTAGATGTGACTATGTAATTGTTAAGCGCCCAACCTTGGAACACTGTATTAGACGCTTGGCCTGATTATAAGAACCTACTATGCTCTGAGACCGTACGGAGATAGCTCCGAAACATTAGTGATAGCTGATAAATAAGTATCAGGAATAATGGAATTGTGAGAAATGAGGTATTTGAAGATTGAGGTATGGAAGTATGGAGTGTGAGGTATTCCGTACATTCCAATATCACCATGTGGCGTGTCTGATACAGATCTCTGGAATGTTAACTCAAATTTGACATATCAAAACCTTGGAAGAAACAGTCATATGCAGGGAAAATCGGTTTGGCTGCAGAAATTTCCCCGGAACATAACCCACACCGTTGGAGGACCCTTGGGACCTTGGAACGTTTTAATTAAAACCATAACAAGGCTGATAGAAAATCGCCACAATGGGCTTCGTACAAATAGAATCGATGTTCCAAATCCCAAATCCACCATGTTTTCGGTGTGCTGGCCACCCCTGCCCCTGAATAACCTCAAAAAGGGTGTTGCCAAGCCTTGACCTAAACCCAACTCCGGTTGTTCCCTCCGAAAGCCCTCGATCCTTTTGGGCCAAGAGTATTTCGGCGGTCTGGAGCGTTGAGTTGTCTTTTCATTTGTATGTTGTATACGGTTATTTACACGTGGGTCAATGGCTATTCATTATTCGGACTGGGCCTCAATACACGATTTCATCTCCTTCGAAACTCTTTACCTTCACAGTCAATAATCTCAATCCCCGGAATTATCAGCCTAAACAACACTATTGAGTGCAAAATAGCGTAAGACACTTTTCAGGAGTCAGGCGCTAGCTGTTCTAAAATTCCGTAAGTAATACCGCGGCAATCTCCACAAGACACAATACTCGGCTGTGCCCCAGCATCCGTGATCTACCCCAAGGAAGAGTTGTGATCGCCAGTCGAAGAGTTCCAGACTCTCATCCTCATTGTGATCAGCACTGGGTACATGGAATGGCAGAAGTTTGTTCGTTATGTTGTATATATCTGCTTCCATTCCTGTAGACTTGCAAACTGTACCTCGTACTCCAGCGTGGGTGCGGTTGTATCGCATGGTCAGGCTACAGTGTTCTGTTTCCTTTTGAAACGGCCACTAGTGAAATGGCTATAGTCCGGGTCACTAGGAGGTCTTTCCTATTTGGCACGGTTAATTGAACAATTCAAGCTTCCTGCCCCATCAATAACTATTTTTGGCTTCAGGCTAGGTGATCGGCTTGCGTGTGTACCTCTAGAGATCGTCAGGGGAAAAAACAACGCATACTTAACAGCAAGCAAAAGGTGATGTGTTCAATGTTGTTTCCGTAGGGCAGGATGTCTGTTGGTATAAATGAACAATTGGGTTTGAGTTACGAACACATGGGGATTCAAAACAATTGTAAGATTCTTGGCGCTGATGCTCCTTAGTAATTCGATGTACAACATACGGAGTAAAGAAAAAAGAACTCGTATAATTTGGGTAATTCATAAAATTGAGTGATACCTGTATTGTGAACTAATCAAAGATCGGCAGGGCGGAAATTAGAGGCTGCGCCTCAACCAATCAGAGTTTGGGCTAAACCCCAATTCACCTGCCACCTTTCCAATTTGGGACTGGTCGAGTGCGCTATGATATCTCGCCCCACATGGCGCAGAAAGATAATTTCCCGTTTTGTTTGGTTTTTTGGATTTTGGCTTTTGACGGGGAAATTGTTTGTCTTACTTTTTGTGATGGAACATTGCGATGAAGCCGTTCTGCTCCACAGATTCAGTTTTTGAAGATATTACCCTGGGTAAGTAGGCACCGAGGGTTGCTCGGTTTGCCACCGAGAAAGCCACAGAGGGGCAGTGGTGCCTTACATGGTATGACAGGACATTTGAAACCTTGGCCTCGTTTACGGAGTTGGTATGTGGCTTTTCAAGTTAGGAGCTGAAGACCCTCACAGCGGTAAGGACTATTCTGGGTGTGAGACACTATTTTAACACTGGGGCCGAAAAGAAAAGGGGAGGGCAGTTGACGATCCGTGCGATGTTTTGATAATAATAGTACGGAGTATGGACTACGGAGTGACCGATGTTTAGATACTGAACTCGTACAGAACCTTGGAAGTATCCCTCTAACCGTTGGGCGAGAATATAATTTTGTACCTGCATCTCATATAACAAATCAAATGTATCTATGGAATAAATACCAAATATACCAATCTCCACTACCCGAGCCGTGCGGGCCAACCACACAGAGACAACACTCGGGTGTCGAATATCTCAACCAATGAAATTTATAATGTCCCTGAATACACACATCTAGACTCGTCCAGGGGGGTAATTTTAGGCCAATTTTAGTGTAATTAAATTCAAAATTCACGATCGGTGGACCTGTATCTATACAAGTCCTGTTTTATGGTCTTTTTTCTCCTTTTCTCTCTTTCCCCTAAACTTCCCCCCCGGTAACCATTTCTCCAACAAAAGGCCTTGCGTGCCCCCCTCTCCTTTGATCTTCCCAACCCTTCGATTCTATCACCGCTTCACTCGTTCAGCGGGCATTCCTTCTTTTTGATATTATCTGTTCATCATGAAGGGAGCTATTTTCGCCGCCGCCTTGGTCGGCTCTGCCATGGCTGACGGTGTTCACCGTCGCCATGACGCTTTCCACCAGCGTCGTGAGGCTGCTTCCAGCAGCTGGGCCTCCGCCGTCACCTCGACCATCCCTCTGAACCCCGGAGAGACTTGCGGCTGCGTCACCAAGGTCATCACCTACTACGGTGACGCTACCCTGGTCCCTATTGAGACCTCGACTCCCGTCCCCGAGTCTACCACCACTCTCACCAGCACTGTGCACTCGACCAGCACCAGCACTTTGACTGTTACCGTCTCGGCTTCTTCCGCCCCGGCCACCTCCAGCACTCCCGCCGTTGAGCTGCCCACTCCCGGTGTTAGCACTTTCCCCTCCACCGGTATCTTCACCATCCCGGCCACCACCATCACTGTCCGCGACACCACCACCGTCTGCGGTGCCACCTCCACTGATATCCCCAGCGGTACCCACACCTACGGTGGTGTTACCACCATTGTCTCGACTGCCACCACTGTCACCTGCCCCTACGCCACTGTCAAGCCTTCCGGCAGCACCGTGACCAGTGTCATTGAGACCACCACCTACGTCTGCCCCTCCGCTGGTACCTACACCGTTGTGCCTCCTACCACCACCTCTGTGCCCACCAGCACCGTTCTGGTCTACCCTACTCCTCACACCGTTGTCCCCGGTACCTACACCCAGGATGAGAGCGTTATCACTGTGACCCGCACTGACTACACCTACGTCTGCCCTGCCCCTACTGATGCTCTGGCTTCCACCACCGCTCCCGCTCCCGCTCCCACCACTGTTGTTGCTACCACCACCGCCGCTCCCGTTGTCACCACCAAGCCCACCAGCTCCAAGACCTCCGCCGTCAGCAAGCCCACTGGTGGTGTCCCCACCGAGCTCGGTGAGGGTCAGTGGGGTATGACCTACTCTCCCTACACCGCTGATGGTCAGTGCAAGACTAAGCAGGAGGTTCTCAAGGACCTTACTGTCATCAAGAGCAAGGGCTTCAACCTCATCCGTGTCTACTCCACCGACTGCAGTGGTATCGAGTTCATCGGTGACGCCTGCAAGGAGCTCAGCATCAGCATCATCATGGGTGTCTTCATTGATGGCTCCGGTACCGCCGGTGCCCAGGAGCAGGTCACCGAGATCTCCAAGTGGGCCCAGTGGGACATGGTCGAGCTGATCGTTGTCGGTAACGAGGCCATTCAGTCCGGTGCCGTCGATGCCTCCACCCTGGCCGGCTTCATCCAGTCCGCTTCCAGCAGCTTCAAGGCCGCCGGTTACACCGGTCTGATCACCACCACCGAGCCCATCAACGTCTGGCAGCAGCACGGCCCCGGCGCTCTCTGCGCCGCCGTCGACATCGTCGGTGCCAACATCCACCCCTTCTTCAACGCCGACGTCACCGCCGAGCAGGCCGGTGAGTTCACCAAGGGCGAGTTCGAGGAGCTCGAGAAGATCTGTGGCGGAAAGGACGTCATCAACCTCGAGACCGGCTGGCCCAACGCCGGTAACCCCAACGGTGCCGCTATCCCCGGTCCCTCCCAGCAGGCTGCTGCCATCAAGTCCATCGCCAAGCACGTTGGCTCCAAGTCCATCTTCTTCTCCTACTCCGATGACACCTGGAAGAACCCCGGTGAGTTCAACGTCGAGCAGCACTGGGGATGCTCTGGCGTCTTCTAAGCGCCTTATGGATTTTTGAAATTTTTTGTTAGTTCTGCAAATGCAAAACTTGTACAGGAGGACTAGGAGTTTTACCTTTCTCTGGCCTTGGTCTACCGGCCCTTTCTTCTCTTCTTGGACTCTATTTTAAATTTGCCTTGGTAGATACACCTTTTATTTGACGTTGTCTACTGACCTTGCACCTTTTGATCTCTTTGTTTATGTTTTTAGTCGTGTGTATATTTGCTCATTTATGCCTTCTCACGATTTTCATACGGTAGTCTTTCCTTGTATCATGTAGTTTGTATCGTAGCTCTGCACATTGATTCCTAGGTAATGTCCTTGACTTAACTTCCATCTGCTTAGATCATTTGGCCCCCGTGGGCTTCTCTAGATGGCCCCAGACCAGATTTAAATCCGAATCTAGGCCCCATAAGCTCCCTTAATTTCCCGCACATGCCATTCGCATTCCAATGTGAGCCCTTCACGTACGTTCCTTGCTATGTTGTACTAATCGAGTCTATTGTCGGGATCCTAAACTATTGGTCTACTCATCATCCCCTTCTTCGCTATACCTGCAGCAGTGTTTGGAATGTTTCAGTTCTGACTAGATCAAAGCAAAGAGAGAGATTTAGAGGTTCAGTAAAGCTGAAACAGTACTAGTAGTATGTACCCATACGCCTTCAAGTGTCGTTGAGTAGCGAAAGTCATACTTCCCAAATAGGAAAAGTACCCATCTGACTTCCCCCGGGACCATGGTTCTTTTAACCTTGACCAGACTACCAAAGATACTGACGACATTTCTTGCTATCCATCTAATTTTCTTCTCCATCTACTCCCTAATTGTTACTCTCCTCTCACCTCCTACACCATCCATCCTTCTACCATCCATACACCCCCCAAGATGTCCGAAATATACGAAGAGCTCTACAGAAACGCCTTCCACGAATGACCTGTGATTCTACGCCCACTATTCGGGACAATATACCTGATTATAGAGGGTGCCCAGTTCATCTTCAACATTGGACTGCTACTTTGCCTTGCTATCGCCATCTTGATCCTATCTATTGTCATATTGACTATTATTCTCATAGTCTATTTAGCGGAAAGACTAGATCCTAGGGATGACGACAGGACACAAGGCAGTACGACATATGTCTAGATGGTAAATTTGAGGGTTGATATGGGAAGGGATATTGGTTTTCACGGCTTGTGGAAGAATATAGGTATGAAATAATGAGGGATGGGTCTATTTGCTCTTGTTCTGGCTGTTGTGTTGGAATGTTTGTACTTTTGTTCGGGGATTTCGCTGAACGTCTTTTTTGAAAGAAATATTTGAGTGAGCAGTCATCTTACAAGGTCAAGATGTGCCATGTGGAAAGGAAGTCATACCAGGGGGTATGTATCAGATCAAAGCTACCGATTGCTGTTTATACTTTTAGGTATGCTAAGAAATATGACAGAGGGAAATCCCATACCAATAGAAAGCTTGAGAAATTTACATATTCGAGAATTATATACTATTAACAAATAGATACGTACAAGTGAAGACATTGAGCATGCCATGGAAGAATTTCCTGTCCATATTGCATCCTTAACCCGATCGGCTAGCCCAATAACCCCCTATCAAATTGTAACCCCAAGAAAACATTTATAGTGGCGAGCAAGTCTGTCATTCTCATTAGCATCTTGGATCAAGGTCAAGCTGGCAGATATCACTGGGATCGCTTGTACTTACACCATTGGATCCGCAAGTAAGTCCCTCACAGCAGCATCCCACAGCGGCACAGTTAGAAGCAGTGCAAGCCATGGTGTTCTAGTAATATCGTTAGCATTTTTCCGCATCATCTAATATTGTAGCCATCAAGCAAACTCACAGATTGGCATGCGATCTGTGCCTTGGGGAATGGTTCAGGCAGGGCGACAGTGAGGGTAGCAAGGAAACCGAGGATGATGACTGAAGCGCGCATTTTGAATTGAAACTGAAAGACTTGGTGGGTATCTAGAATTCACAATCAGCGACCGAGTGAAATAATAGAGTGAAAACACAATATTGTTTGGACTCGATGTAAGGGCGAGGAAACGTACCTTAGAGATAAAAGTGAAGATCGAACGGGGTATTTAATATCGAAACCAGAAAATCAAAGACGAGCGCATATCAGGCTCCATCAAAGTCTTATAGCTTGCGTCGAGCAACGTAATGACACAAGCCACCGAAGATCTATCATTGTCTCGCTTGAAACAGGGCCATGGGGGATCTACAGGGGCAACTATGGGATCGGCGCGGATGGCTGGAACCATTTTCTCATTGGGGCCGCCCTATAGCGGGGAATACTCGCTTCAATGGATGCAACATCCGAGTATATTACATAGATTATACGACATTGCTTGATCATATTTGATTGATGAAGGTTTAAGGGGCTGGTTTTGCCTCGTGGTCTGGGAGATGGTGTGTAGAACAAAGCGTCAACAAGGCTACCCGCTGACTTCATGGGTATGAAGTCATTGATAGTGGCGATTAAGACTTGTGCAACTTGGACTATGTTGATGATGCCGTATTCATGGTTCGAAGAACACAAGCATCCGGCATAGTTGTGACTTGAATGGGGCTGTTAACAACGCGGCTGGAAATGTCACCAACCGCTTATCGTACATACTCCGTAAGGGGTTTATGGTTGTGCAGCCGCTGGGGTTCGTGTTATTGTAAGCTTGGCGGTGACACACGGGCTTGCGTGGGCTCCCCAGAGGAGAAGTGATATACGGTGGGTCATGAGTAGCTAAGGGGCTGGGGCCATGAGACTGGTATTCTGCGCTGGGGACTTTAGTGAGATATCAAATCTGAGGGAGATGAATGAATTTGAAATAGACGAGATAAAATAAGCAACGGGCATTTGATATGGGGAATGTGATACATTATGATGTTGGATACCTTGGGGCTTAGGCATTAGAGACATGTTGGTGTATGAAGTAGACCTCCACAATGGCCCATAAGTGGGGGCCCATAAGGCCCCCAATAAAGCCCATCGGTATAATAAATTGGCCTCTGTGATCGCTATATTAAGATCTTTTCTACTAATCATATAAGGTTTAAATATAGAGTAATAGATTATAGTAGCTATATTAGTACATATCCTTATTTCAAGTAAAATCCGATAAGTAGAGGGCGAGACCTCGCAGAAAGTAGATATATAGTATTAATATTGATGTTCTGATATCAGATATATATTTTGATATAGACGGGAGTACCACCACTACTTTCTAGTTACCCTATGTAGTTTTCAATTTCTTTATAAACGCGCTTTTCGCGTTTCCAGACGTGATATCAAGAACTAACTAATAACAAGCTCTTAATCATTTGAAAAGATAGGATATTACCGTAGGGATAAAGCCTAGAAGCGTAGGCAAAACGAAGCGTGATTAAAAAGATAGAAAAGGGAGGGTCCAACTTTACTTGGCACCTAGATTCTTCGTACGTTCGTACTATTTGGGGCCCATTGGGCCCCTACTAAAGCCCAGCCCATTTGCGGGTTAGGGTGGGTTGAGCCCTGGGCTTTATGGGCTGGTGCGGAGGTCTAGGATGAAGCGCTGGCATATTGGGAAGACTGGAGGAAGTATTTTCCTCCATGATCTAGTTATAAATTACCACGCGAGCTGATACTGAAATATAGAGACTTGAATACTGTCGAACGAGGAGTACTGAAGATGACTTGATAAAAATGAGTATGTATTGCAAAGAGCGAGAGGCGCTCGCTATTTAACCCCTAAATGCTAACCAAGTCGTCCAGAAGGGGGAAGTAATCAGTGCAATGATCAGTAATACCATGATTAGCAATATCCAAGAGAAACGAAAGAATCGGTGATATAAGGGGTCCTATGGATACCACGTCAACTGTGTTTTAGTTTAAGATTTAATTAAAAATGTCTTAGCTCTCGGCTAAGCAGACTAGAATGCACTGCCGAGATAAATTCAGCAACAATCTATCGTCACTATCTAATAAAGCTTGGCATAAATGTAAATTTTAGACCCTTGTTTCTAAATACTACTACAGGAGGGTTGCCTCTTTCGCATATGCGGCATTTGCATATACAATAAGAAGTATGCCAGCCTCGTGTATGACCAGCAATTGGCTACCGTTTTATTATCGATGTCTCAAAATTAGCTCTCTAGCCGGAAGAGTTCAGGTAATAGGGTCTGAACATGTAAAGTAGCATTTCTATCTACTATCTTCTGTATATAGTTATTGCCCTGATCTTTGCCCCTCTAACGTTTGTTAATATCAGAGGTGTCCTGATGAATAAATTTTGATGTCCTGCGAGATTTAGAGAAAATCTCGGAACTGAAATTCGATTTCAGATTATAGCCTTATTATTCACATCCGAAGTCAACGCACCCGTTCTTAAAATTAGTATTATAAAATTATTCGCATTGAAAGTGGTATAGTTTACATCCTAGCCTCCTCGGTTAATTCTTCGAAATATGGATATGGGAGCGCGGGAAGAGCAATATGCCATGAGCATTTCCATGTTTTAGCATGAGACAAGGGTCCTAGTGGGTCGGAAGAAGGAATGATCTGACAGTCTCATCATGTAAATTTAAGCAATTGGGTCCAATTGATTGCTGTCTTCGCTACTAACAAGGGCCCACTCTTTTCTCGGGGTTTGCTGACGAACCTTAATCGGGAATAAATAGGCCCTACCATCAAGGTAAATATTAGCAAACTATTCGAAATGAGTCTCGTCATGCAATATATGGGAACGGTCTCGATAGCCCAATTCACGCACTTATTCGTAATCCAGAGGCTTTGGACATGCGTGGCCTAATTATCAAGTTATCAGGGTCTCAATGAGTAAAAGCTGTACATCGTATTAAAGAGAAATTCGACACCTGAAAAGGAGATCTGGCGGTTTAATTGTAAGGATGATTGATTGCTATGTTTGGCCACATTCAATGAGACCTTTGTGGAGCAATAGCAAATTGGACTGTAACAGATATAGATATCCATGTGTTAACTTATACGAGCGGGAGAAGAAATAAAAGGCAGACATTTCCCAGTGTCTATAAGCCCATCTCATACATCTTCATCCCTCAAAACGATAGAGAGTGAAAATGCTGGCGTTTATGCATTATTTTCCCCTTCTAGCAGTCCTTTTAGGACTCGCTATGCCGACCCTGTCTACACCTCTCAGCCCCCAGGCCCAACCCGAAGAGGCGATCAGCGACATCTCCTCTAACTCGACAATCGAGCGCCGCGCCGGTCCAACAACTTTCAGCAACAGCAAAGACGGCATTGACCCAGCCGGGTTCTACCACTCACTCTACAACGACAACAAAGCCTCGGCCAGGTACACTGAGTTCCCTGATAGCGGCCGGTTTCAGCTCGCATGGAACACCCCGAACAAGGAATTTCTAGGTGGCAAAGGATTCAAGGGTGTCGCACCCCGGTAAGTATTATGTTGCAGCTATCATCCTCGGATATTACTAACTGTCGCTAGCTCTATTACCTGGGATGGCTCCTTCAGGGCTTCTGGAGACTGGACTCTGGGCATCTACGGGTGGACTCAAAACCCTGTCACCGAGTGGTACGTTGTCGAATCTCACGGCGATGGTGTTCCTGGCAATGGTCACATTCTGGGCCAAGTTTACAGTGACGGTGGAGTCTATGATGTCTACAGTCTGTCGTACAACAACGTACCTAAGATCTATGGGGCAACTAGCTTCAAGCAATACTGGTCCGTCCGACGTAACCACCGGAGCTCTGGTACCGTCAATGTCGCTGCCCACTTTGATGGTTGGAGGAAATTGGGACTCAAGCCGGGCAATCCGGTTTTCCAGATGATTACTCTTGAAGGGTTCAAAGGAGAAGGCTCTCTCGATTTTACTGTGCGCAGATAGACGAGCAAAGGAGAGAGGAATCGTGGGAGGATGCGAGGTTCCGATTGGTAGTGTGGAGGAGGACGGGGATGTAAATTCCATTGGCAATATTCTTCTGATTTCCTGTCGATAGGCTAACTAACATGTGTCAAACGCGTGTTATAGGCTAGGTCAAAAAGCAATGGGAAAATTTGTCAGTCATACTGAAGTGGAGAGATTTGTTATAGTGACATGGAGTTTGTAAATCAGAGATATCAGGAAACCTAGCTAGTATCCTTGCCCGTAGGCTATAGCAAACTAAAGTCGGAATTTAAAATAGGACTAGGATTAGCCATTTCTCGGAAGTTGACCGAAACTAGAAAAAGCGAATGATCGTCTATGTCTGGGTTAACTTCCGGCTAGATCTCGTTTAATGCTTGACAGAAATTAGATGTGAAACAAGGAGGGCTGGGGCTGACTTGATACCAAAAGCTTACTATGCGGAGCAAAAGGTAAAATGAGTGGAAGCGCTCAATATTTAACTCCTAAATACTGACAAAGCTATCTAACTAAAGGGTAATTCCGGCTGACCTTAGATGTATGGCGAACGTACTAGTAAAAAAAAAACGATGATAAACTGGATTATACGCGAACTGCACTGCTCTCGCAAGCAGCAACGCGCTAAAAGCTTCCATACAGTTTTTGGCATTGTTTAGCATCAAATTCCAGGTTTCCAAGTCGATACCGCTATTCTTAGACGGCCCTCACACATTCGACATGCTTGACCTCCATTGCTCCCGGGTTCTTCTCGTGCTCCTGATCCTGGATACCATCTGTGTCTGGCCTTAGCTGAGGGCCTCGTCGACCGACCTGATACCAGGGCAGCGAGAATAGGCTGTCCGTGCTTTCAAGCGATCGTCCTGTCAGTTCTGGGACAAAGAACCACACCCAGATAAGACCCAACAGACTGACAGCCGCACAGAAAGCGAAGAATCCGTAGCTTTGCAATGAAAGAAGCATACTTGGCACAGCTTTTGTGTTGCCGAACTGGTTAACAAAATGCAGGCACATCACAAGAGAGCTACCCAAAGCACGGAGGCGAAGAGACCAGATATCAGCATTGACAAGGTACTGGAATGAGTTCCATCCCATCGTCCATCCAACTCCAGAGAGATAGATCATGACAATCGAGCCAACAGCTCCACGTTGTTGGGAAGGGGTCAAACTCCCGGAATCCAAAGATTCTGAGCCGACGACGCCAAGATAAATGGAAATATACAACAGTGCGATCGTCTGTAATGAGATGCCCATGTATAGAGACCGGCGGCGGCCAATGAAGTCGATCAAAAAGAATGCACAAATATAGGCAGAGACCAGTTTCACAACGCCGAGGATGCAGCTTGCAAGTAGCTTCTCCGACTGGCCAGTCTTGCCGAGGACTCCAAAAAACTCGGTTGCATAGATTGTGATGGAGCTAGCACCCGACCATTGACCCAGAACTTGAGACATAGTACCGAGCATAAGACGATATCGATTCGCAGGAATCAATAGAAGTTCACGAACTTTGCCCCATTGGGACACACCGTGAGACGCCTCTTGCTCTCGCTCAAGCTGATTTCGAATACCAATAATCTCAGCCTGGAGGAATGGGTGGCTGGAGTCTAAGCATCGAATATTTGAGAGTGCCTTTTCCGCCATCTCATGTTTCCCCTGGATTGTGTAGAATCGAGGAGTTTCAGGAATAGTGAAAGATAACACAAGGAAGAAGCTTTGGTAACCATTAATAGCTGAACCAGTGCATAAGAAGGAGAGAAACTCACGCCGCGAATCCAATATGCGAAAATTGTGGTGCAACCCACTGCCAACGTGAATCATCCGGTAAATTCACTGACGCCCTCCAGTTGCTGAAGAAAGCAATAGTAGCTCCCAGGTAGACCGAGCCAGCGAATAGGTTAGTCAACCTACCACGCACACTCTTAGGCGCGATCTCCGCAATATACATAGGACTAACAACCGTAGTCATCCCAATCCCTAAGCCGGCAATGAAACGGCCGGCAAGAACCTGGGGAACATTGCCGTGGCTCACAATGATGATGACAAAGCCCGTGAGCCATAGCAGACACAGAGTTTGCAGAGTACGGACACGACCAAACCGGTCGCAAAGAAGGAAAGCTAGGAATGCACCGACGATACTACCAAGCTGAACCATGCTCGTAATATTGGAGAGGACATCAGCCTGATGGCTTTCGGATCCTTCTTCCAAATGAAATTCATCCTTGAAGCTTTGTAGGCTGACCATCCCACCGACTAATCCCTCATCGAGGCCACGGCTAGCACCAAGAAGACCTATTTGTTTAGTCAGGAATGTCCTCAGACAAAGGATGAAATAACAATGCAGCTTACCAAATACACCGGCGCTCCAATAGAGCTTCCAGTTTAACACTTCACGGGGCGTATCGTCAGGGCCTACTGGGGTGCGGATATTGAACACCATTCTGAAGATATCAGTGAAGGCCTTTTTTGAGTATTTGTGAAGTTGGCTAGCAAGATCTCTCGAAACACAAACACGAATTTGAATATCAGCTTGGGTACGGGCTTTATATTTCACTCGGACGGAATTCCCCTCTACAACGTACTACTTACAAGACGAGTATGTCCCACATACAGTCTTCTTGCGGGGAACTTAGGGATTCCGGGGATGCGCCATTTACGGTAACTGATAGACATTCGGGGTTATAATGGAGTATGTCATTCTGGGGTTTGATCCACTTTATGTTGATTTCGGTCAACTCCCGAACGTGGTCACAAATCTCAAATGAAGCCAAGATGCGACTGAGGTATGCCACGTAAGCCGAACTATACGATACTGGCCTTCTCAAAGTCATTTGTTAGCCCGAAATTATTACCTCATGCCTTATTTGAGGTTGATCTCAAATGATACCAACTACTTCAATGCTTTCCCGCTTTCATATACGCAGAAATGTTCACATGTTAGCGCTCTAGTCGACCAGACTTTCCGGCAATTGCAAGTTGCGTTCTGCCTAAGCCTTTTGCCATTTTTGTAGGGACAGGAAAAGTTCGGTTGAACCTGGGGTCAAAGCTGACCTCTCCCCGGGCCTGTAAGGTTGTTGACTCAAATCGCACCCAGTATGTCCTCGGACAACGTCCGCGCGAACAAGATTCGATCGACTAATGTAATTTCAACACTACTACTTATCCTTTCCTTATGTAAAAACAGACTCGAAATACGTCCTACGCGCTCGGCACGGAAATTCGAGAATGGAATAGTGAAATAGAACTACACATTTAGATAGAGTGGAATAGAAAACTTCCACTCAAGAACAGTCTCCAATCTCTTATTTATCACCGTCACCAACGTATACGACGGGTCAGCTACAACGGCTGAGCATTGACCGTGGGTCCTACTTAACCCTCAGGCGGGACCGCCTGATATGCTGCATTTCGCCGATAGTTTGGCCTCTAGCTACATATAGTTTAGACTTCTTTTACTAAACTGCAGCCAAAGTGGTGCTGTACCTAGCACGAAATGATCCTGCTGTCCAGAGAGAAAGTCCTTTTCGGTCTGAAGAGGTGCAAGCGAGATATCATAACTTTTCAGAAGTCGGGCAATACTGTGTCGAAGCTCCATTAAAGCGAATTGTTTTGCGGCACATGCGAATGGTCCTTCATATGTTAATATATGCTTCTGTCACGGTTTCAACAAAACTTACCGATGTTGAATGGAATGAATACTGAGTGATCGTTTATCAATTCTGGCCGGGTTGTCCATCGTTCAGGAATAAACTCTTCCGGGGATACAAAAGCACGACTGTCTGTTGATAGCATTATGATCTGTATTGCCGGAGATCGCTTTATGGATAGTAGGAAAGCACATACCATGATAGACAGTATGCAGAGGTACCCGAACCTTCACATTACCAGGAATATATTTATCGCCGATATAGAGTCCGTTAGGGGGCGTTAGACGTTGATTTCCCGACAACAATGGAGAGTGTAAACGGAACGCTTCGTTTATAACCCCATCAAGCAGGTCAAGTTTTGAAACGCTGTCATAACTCAGATCAGGAAGTTGGTCTAATCTTTTCTGTAGCTTTCTGGCCTCGTCTTTGTGGCAAGCTAGCCGAAAAAGAATATTTATGGCTGCTGTGGCGATGGGATTACTATTTAATTTGAGCAAAGTCCAAACCTGGAAGCGCGTTTCTCGGAATAGTATCAACCTACCTCCCTGCGAGAATGCTGCCAAAAGCATCACCTTGCAAGTTGAAAGTATCTCGAGCGGTCTTTCCGCCTGCCTCATAGGTCTGAAGAAAATAAGAGAACACATTTGGTTGATTGAGCCCAAGCTATTATAGATTATATTTAGTGACTGGTGCCCTCATATCATTCCAATGTTCATGTTGAAAATCGTGAATAGGTGAATACTGACCTTGCGTGTTTCTGAAATGCGGGCATCAATCCAGTGCCAAAACCTCGTCACCCCTAAATTCACCAGTGGGGTGACTTTGAGAAGTGAAAAGAGCCAAGGGAGATGACCGAAGTAGCCAAATGCGACTCTTAGTTGTGTTTTGATATCGCTAACAATATGCAAATCTGATGCATGCTTATCAGTCAGGGTGTTGAATGATTTCCCTAATACAATATCTCCCATAACGTCAAATGCGAGATAATTGATCCATTCCTTCACAGGAACCGGTTTGTCCAAGTTGCTATCGATTAGCTCGAGAAGTCGGTTTATATGGATAAGCATCCGAGGCTCGTAGTCATGCAGGGCTGTAGCATGTTATTCTTCTGTTCCCACTATCGGTGTTGGGTGAGATATGTAGTTACCTTTAGAACCAAAAGCTTTATCCCAGACCTTTCGCCGTTCTGCATGTTCTTCTTTTTCGCGCGTGGTTAAGAGGGCTTTCTGTGGATGGAGCATGGTGTAAAAAGGACCCTTTGAAACAGGGGACTGGCTGCCATAGATGGCTCTAACAGCTCTTGGGTCTGCTATTGAGAGTTCCGAGGGGCCTATAATATAGTAGAGTAAGCAGTGTAAAGACCCTAATATGAATAGGCTGAAAGTCCGACCTATTCTGAGGTAGTCGCCGTATATTTTGTGCATTCTCTGGGATTCTAGATAGAAACGAAGCTTCCTCCCTGATATTGCTGTCATGTAAAAGTTTGACGCGCGTGCAAGGAACGGACCAGGGAATTTGTGAAGCTTGTGAAAGAACATCCTGTAGAGTATCACACTGCAGTATATGCCAAACGTGGAGTAGCATCCGAGAACCAACACATCTTTTGGCGTTATGCAGATACCGAATAGATCAGTTATACTTGATTGCTTGAGATAAATCAATAGACTCCCACCTATCCAGAAAGTCAAATGAGAAAGAAATACATAGGGGGCCTCTATATCCCATTCATCGAAACGATATAGCATCAAGTGAAGTAAAGCGCCACTCGATATTGCAATTAATGGTATGACGACATGAGACATGCTGGAAAGGTGTAAATATATTTGAGTCTTGAATATCAAACATGGTGGGTATGGCTCGTCTGGTATACATAAGGGTGGGTAGATTGACTTCATTCAAACATTACCTCACTAGGTCATATGCATTGCTATAGTTCATGCTGTGGAGGGAATATACTTGTCCTACTTGAAAGCTAACTCATTTATCTGCTGTATAACTGCTATAGTTCCTCTGCTGCAACTTACTCATACGCCACCAAGGAGCAGTGAAGCTACATGTGTCAAACCAATGACCACTATATCAAACATTTATGCTAATGACACGCTTTAGTCTTTTACCAGTCATATTTCCATACCGATAACACGCAACGAGCCACGTGCAACATCTAATACCTCACGCATCCCCGAGCTTTGAAGGGGGGGGGGGGGGGGGGGGCGGGGGGGGGGGGGGGCTGCAATTTGCTAAGTAGAGCAACTTGCCTAAGAATACTCGGTCTCGGTACATATCTCGCACTAGAAGCCGAATATGTAATGCCACTGCTAGCTTGAAGTCCCCCAGCCCGAAGTATACTGTTATCCCAAATTCACGCGTTATAATTTCGTTTGCGCGTGACGTACTTGGAGAATCTAATAGTAGAACTGAGGTCATAGAGCAGTACTTCAAATATCAAATATATCACAAGCAGCTAACTAGATAAGTACCCTGAAGAGTCGTGATAATGTTTCTCAGATAACTGGCTTGTCGAAAAAAACACGGTTCCATTGCATAGAAGGACTGTCTAAGACAATCCTGCGCGCCTCCTCCATGAACTCTATATCACTCCGATAGGCATCAACCACATCCATAATCGGTGACCTATAGGACGCGGCTAGATCGTGAACGGTTCCACCGGGTGTAAAAATAGGATGGTAAGCATATGAATACCGGTTACCGCCATATGTGGCACCAAATAGATATAGCGGTAGACAGTCGATAAGATGCTGAGAAAAGTATCCTAGCCGTCTCTCATTGAGAGTAGCTGTTGGAACCCGGCGATGAATATATTCTCCAGCACTTCCCCGGATGAGGTCTTCAAATCGTCCACGGAAACTGTCCACCACGTCGAGTAGCTTGGTATAATCCTCGTCGATTATATCAGCCCATCGGATAAGCGTAATTTTTGCCGAAGTTGCGTTACCAAGCTTCCAGTCTTTGATCACGCGGTTGATCTGAGCAGTTGCTTGATCACCAGCTTCTTTAACCATACTTTCAGCAACCTCGAGGGTCATGCTTCTCGGAATCATTTGGTCGTATTTGCAGGGGTCGTCACAGATAAGGACTAGGACATCGTGGTGCTTTGCAGTAAGACTATCAAGTAGATCCTTGATGTTTTCATCTGTGTCAAGTGGGTGTTTGCCCATGCATAGGATCACAATGCAGCGTCCAGCCGCAGCCGAGTCTTCAGAGATAGAAAATGGATACATAATATTGCTTGAGAGAATAGAATTGGCTTCAAGAAAAGATATTTTGTATTGTATTGGTATATAGATGTTATAGAGTATGACTACGGTATATATAGCTAAAAGTGTCTACAAGTGAGATACATGATGAGGAAGATTTGAGTATGCCGGTGATAGTTTCATTGACCTACGTCATAATAGTACCCTAAGGTTTACACGTGGATGAATTTATTAGGATGAGATACAAATGTTGATATGAAAAGAACTTATGTGTGACTTGCTATTTCTGGAAAGACCAAGCGTATATTTGATTCACTTGATATTCTTGGTGTAACTAATAGAAGAGTCGCTTGAGTCAATGGTACATACTAATTACACCCAGTAGATACTACCTACCCGGACAATTGACAATCTGACATCTGGATAAGGTTTCCAAGGTTTGCGCTGCTCGCCATATTAGGCAGGTCAAAGCACATCTACACGTTTCTACACTTGAATGAGAATAAGTATCCATTTTACCATTTCTAGAAAGGTCACGGTGTGTCTAACTCTGCTATTTATCTGCTTACAAGATCAAGGCAGCAGTATACTAAACGGTTTGGCTTTATATTCATCCTAACCGGAGAGAACCCCAAAAAGCCAAATAAATTATGGCCATAGCCACAACGTTCCAAGAAATATAAAAAGCTGCTCATTTCACTACCTTGCTATACTTTATGACAACATAAACGAAGACTTTATTTTTCAAAATGACCAACAATCTACCTGATCCAACCAATGCCTCTCGCGCAACACCAACAATCCCCGTTTCCGATGCCATCTTGCACATTGGGAGCTCCACTTTTATCAGTGCCTCTTCACTCGAAGTATGGGAAGTGCTGATTAACACCTCAACATGGCCAGCCTGGAATTCTTTTATTCCAAAAGTGACGATCCGATCACAACCAGACTCTATGAGCAATGAACCACTCTCCCCGATATTCCAAAAAGGGACCACGTTCACCTTCCATGTCAGTGCCGAACCTACCATCACGTTCAACATCCCGCTGGCTGTGACTGAGTTCACTGCTCCCAATCCCGAGTCAGCTTCTCCTGGCCATATCGTGTGGACAGTTGACTATGATGCACCCGGTGCCCCGCCGCCTTTTCTTTTAGTAGGGGAACGAATGCATGAATTAAAAGATGTGGAATTGATGGTCGACGATAGATTGCTCCGTGGGACAGAGGTTCGTCACTGGGAGGCGATGATGGGGTGGTTGGCCCACGCAGTGCAGTGGATATATGGACGTAAACTGCAACAGGGTTTTGACACATGGGTTTCTGACCTGAAGACTTTTATGGAAAATGTCAATGACCAAACTTGACTAGGTACACCATGTGGGGAAAGAGAATAAATATAGTTTTCTCCTCACTTCAAGCTAGGTAATACAGAATGGTGAATAAATTAATATACGAGAATGGAAACTTATAATTCCTCATTCATAGTTTCCATAAAGTCTTTATACAATTTAATGCGTACAGTATATGTATATTTTGGGTTCCCATCACCTCAAACCCTACTTTTGGACTACCTATTGAACTCAAATCCTACTCGCTTACATGGTTCATGTAATGAAAGTAAGAGAGAAAAGGTAGATATTAAATCAAATGATAGGGAGATAAATATAGTAGTTAATCAAAAAAGAGAAAATTTGGGTTCGAAATATCATAAGAAGTCTCCTGACTCTATGTAAGTTCAGAGATATACTACCAAACCTTAATCTCAAGGTTATAGATCTGCGAACCACCTTCCAAATCTGAATGCACTACAATATTATACTTGAAGTATGTGGTGGATAAATCTTAGGGTATTTCAGCACTGCAAGATTGGAGTCTATATATTACTGTGCTTGCTTCATTAGTCCTGCTGGATACAAGTTTTGGATTCTCTACTGCCATTTCCCATTAACCTTCCCTGACACCTCTGCTCAAATAACCATTTGTCATGTCATCAGAGCATATAGACCAGTTTGATTCTATTGAGGATACAATCATAGATTTTAGTAGGTCATTACTGTTTTTCGTCGTTAAAGTGAGAAAACTGACCTAAGGTGGCAAATAGAAAATGGGAAATTTATTATAGTCCTTGATTCGCAAGACCGCGAGAACGAGGGCGACTTGATCATTGCTGCAGAGTCAATCACAGCGGCTCAGATGGCATTTTTAGTTCGTTACACTAGGTAACCTAAGAATAACCATTCTACACCTTTTCATGGGTCAAATACTAACATGTGATTTTGATATGAACCACAGCGGCCTAATTTGTGCTCCTATCACTGTTGAACATGCCGCTCGACTTTTGCTTCCTCAAATGGTCACCGCAAATGCCGATCCCAAAGGCACAGCATACACGATTACCATTGACTCAAACGACTCGTCCATTACAACAGGGATATCAGCACATGACCGCGCTCTGACCTGTCGCATGTTGGCATCTCCTAGCGTTTGTGCAAACCAGCTTCGGCGGCCAGGTCATATAATCCCACTACAGGCAAGGCCTGGTGGTGTTTATGAGCGCCAGGGTCACACCGAAGCAGCAATAGAGTTTTGCAAGCTAGCAGGGAAAAGTCCTGTTGCTGTTATTGCAGAGCTGGTGGAAGATGGGGAGCCAGTGTGGGGAGTTCCGGAGATAAACGAGAACAACGGGATGTTGCGTCGGGACGGATGTTTGAAGTTTGCAAAGCGGTGGGGAATCAAAGCATGCACGATTGAAGATTTGGTGGCCTACTTGGAGAAGACAGGAAATAACATGAACGGAGATAAATAGTTTCAAGATGATACTATTTTCTTTGGGACGGGGGGAATTCTTAGTAGAGATATCCATGACATGATACTGAGCCCATCTTCCATTTACTAAAAAGGAATTGGCATTCAACATCTGCTGATTATCAAAATAGAGAGATTAGCTCTGACGGAGCGACATTACACTAGCTCAGTGGCCACGGGAAGCGGGTACTCGCGGGAATGAGACCAAGTGGGTCTATACTTGGCTTATGATTGGTCTACCCTACAAATATGCTCCACGGCCATAAAGCTTGGCGGAGCCTGGATATTTGGAATAGCACCATCTTTTATACATCAATCGATCAATCAAGGGGAACTTGGTTCATATTCCATCGACATGTTTCCAAATAATACATAATCCTATTTTATATCAGCCTGGCAATTTATAATCATTAATGAGTTGTATCGATTTCTGCAAATATAGGCCGGCGGGTAGACACCGCTGTTAGTACGTTGCGGAGTGTGCCAGGCAATTGAATGAAATGGCCCAACGGATGCGTGCATAAGCCAAGCAACAAACAGCCAAGCAGGTGGCCGAGACTAAGACTGAGACAGATTCTTCCAGAAACAGTGCGGCTAAAGGCATTGTACTAACATAAAGAAAAGTTGGCGATTTACATTGGCGTATTTTCGTTTTGTGACTCTGCTCAGACGTCTTCTACAAAACTCCTCAGAATACCAGAGGCTAGGCCTAAGTTACTGTGCTGAAGAGAGACTGTTAATTCTATTGGACAATGTTGAGAAGTGGAGTTTCATACTATGCAGAGTCCCGAATCACGCCCGGGACAGTACAGCTGCAATATCCCGTTGCCAGTAGCCTGAGACCACCATTGGATATTAACAACGCAATTTCTGTTGACCGCTATAATTTAATTTCCCTATTGTTTGCATCCAGATTGAGATACAGATCTTGTTGGGATACCAACCCAGTTCATTTGCTGTTTTACATGGGTATAAATACGCTGTCCCTCGAAAGACTTCTCCAACACAGATCTCTTCCTTCTTCCTCTCTCTCATATATCATGCCCAGCAGTTCTCTCTGGTTCCAGAAATTTAGAGAACTTGCACTATTCTTCTGGTACACGTTATTCCTCACCTATATTCATTAAAAATCCTCACAATTTCTAATGCATCTTTCTCTGTCCTGGTGTCAACGAAGTCCCCCTTTTTCCGACGATGCCGCCATTGCACAAGATCCCGTAGGCCCGTTCCCACCACCCTCCACCGAGCTGTTACGACCTGATTCCTTTGCTCGTGAAGCTCGCTTCTCGGCTCATTTCCGTCGCATCGAATGTCGTGATTCCTCTCCTCATACAGTGGAGAGGTGCTTCTCCTTCAGGTAGTACATCGGTCAATAGTCAGGAGCAAAGAAAATTGTGGACGGAGCTGAGCTGCTGACCGAGAAAGCCGGGAAGGGTCGATGACAGATCAATGCCTGGTACGCAGGTGTGTCCACCTAGCACAATCGTCTCGTTCAACACAGGTGTTCTTGGCAAAAATTGTCTGCGTCTGTTAGGCTTAAAACAGATTGGAATTCCGACATGGGGGAGTTTGGTTTAACAAATTTATCAAACTTTGAGATCTTCTCCGTCGAAATTGTTTGAAACCTCTGCCACCCAGTACAGGGTCCACATCTGTCTTCAATCCTCAGGGGCCTCTTTTTGCAAGGTATCCTTGGCAAAAATTGTCTGCATCTGTTAGGCTTAAAACCGATTGGCACTCTTACATGGGGGAGTTTGGTTCAACAAGTTTATCGAGCTTTGAGATTTTCTCCTTTGAAATTGTTTGAAACCTCTGTCACCCAGTACAGGATCCACATCTGTCTTCAAGCCTCAGGGGCCTCTTTTTGCAAGACACCTGTGTTGAACGAGATGATTGTGTTTGTTGAACACACCTTCGTGCCAAGTACTAATCCAGGTCTCGAAGTCGTTCTCCAATGCGGATATTAAAACCGAGGGTGAACCGTTGCCAGAGGTTGAAGACGCCGGAGAGGCAGACTCGGGATCGAATCCGAGGATGATGAAGCTAAGGATTTCTAGTCATCTATCAGACTGCCTCGCGATGGAGTCGGTAGCTTTAGGTTAGTGGTCTGCCAAAAATGCAAAACATCCTTAACTCCATCGTCCTTGGCTTCGCTCCCAAATTTGCGTCTCTGGGCCCTTCAGCCGCTGGCAATGATTTATCGTCGGTTTTAGTATTTGCACTTGAGAGCCAATTCGAGACCTGCTGTTTCCATTGATAATTTCTATTAGCTCTCTGGTCGTTGCGTACCTTGATGATTCGCCATCTTTTGAAACTGTCCTCGTCGAATGTGTAAGTTATAACAGACCAAGGCGCTGACTGCTTCCTGCCTTGTATTTGGGCAATGCATCGATTGTTCTGGCACATCCCCCGACCTCTACTGGGGAATATGCCGGTACGATTGATGACTCACTCAAATACGGGGTAAGAAGCAATTAGGGCCTTAGTCTATTATAACTTACATGTTCAATGAGGACATTTTCAAAAGATGGTGAGACATTAAGGCATAGTGTATTGATATACATTGGATTGGAAGGCTGCTCGTTCGGGATGGGTTGTCAATAATGGAGAGCTACATGTACCACTGCCATAAATCCGATTTATACTATAGTTTCATAGGATAAAGTAACAAAAGCCTGGGCTCAAAAGGTCTCAAGAAGGCGAAGAAAAAATAAAAATCATTATGTCGGTGTATTTCAAAAATTAATGCCCGTATTTTTTATTTGCTTTTTTAAAAAACCACGTAAAGTGTATACCACTAGTTCCGTACCCCTCCTTCAAACCCCCTTTTCCTTTCCTCTCTTTACTCCAATCTCTACTACAACATACATAGTACTACCATGGGCCACGATATTGCTAAGCGCGCAATTGTAGTAGCCTGCAAAGCCAATGGCATTAGCAACAATACTATTTCAGAGCAAATTGACCTTTCAGCAAGCACGATACGCAACATATATCAAAGAGCCCTTGAAAATGGCTTTGATCCAAACTCGCGTCCTTGGATCATTTCTGACGCTATGCTAGCTGACGCCCCTCGCTCTGGAAGGCCGACAAAGCTGTCATTAGATGTGCAAAACCTAGTGCTTTCGAAAGTGCGCCTTGATCAAGAAAAAAAACCTACGCTGATATTGCTGAGGAAATGAGACTCGAAGGCTTTGATGTCTCTTCGAGTACTGTCTGGCGGGTCATGAAAAATGCTGGTTTAACAAAGACGAGACCACCCCGGAAACCTCTTGTAAAAAAAGGTTACCGGCGAATCTGGCTTCTACCAGCACCCGCCATGATGAACAGCTGGCTGAATCACCAAAAGCATCCGCTTCAGGGACCTCATCATGAGCTGACGATGCCAGGCCATTGGGAGGTCTCCGGGGATAGGGGCTGCCGTACGCGCCTGCTGTAAGCTTTCAATTAGTCTCTGGTCTAGGCCAGCTTGATTTCTTGGTCACCGAGATTGGAGTTTGGGTGATCGGGAAAATGTTACTTGATGAGGATTCTCATGTTTTCTTCACCAGCGCGGAGGATAGCGAATCGGTCTATGCACAATACAAGGATCAGCACTGTCTACTATCTTTTAATTCGCTGAGTGTATCGAGAGGATCAGTAAGGTTTGGGCTGTGTATATGCGTATCGACTACGATAAAGTGTGATAATGCACTGGGACTTCTCAGCTCCCTCTCTCTTCAACCACGCACCCCCTTATTCACTTCAACTTTTCAATCTTGACTCCTCAATTAGTTACGGAGTGCGCAGTTAGAGACATTCGGGTTGCAGATGGAGTACAATGAGCCAACTCATACCGCCACCTGTCACTTTCAATAACGATGATGTCTCAAAGCCTCAAGCTCGCAATTCTGAGGCGCAGGAACAGCTTGTTATCGATACTCTAGGTCTCGGTGTCATTGACTGATTGCTCTCATGTAATTTAGGGATGGCGATTATGATACCTGGTGATTCAATGCCGCCTTGATAAAAGAGGGAGGCTTTGAGAGCGATACAATGATGTTGCGGCTCGAGGATCGGAGGAGTTTATCTAGATTGGAACACGCTAGCCTAATTAGGCTCAGTGCCCGCTGAAGCTATTCAGTCACTTTCTTGCGATGAATCATTTTGGTATGATTCAGAATAGATAGAGTATGATATAGGCTTATTTCTTGGTCACTGGGCCAATAAGTCTTACGTATAGGTGATTCACCTAGCTCCAGTGATTGCGGATGAACCCCACCAGGAATATCCAAGAGATGTTGGGCCTGCTGGCGGACCTGCCTATTTAGGAAGGCACCCGCTCCATTCCTAATTGGGGAACTTTCTCCATTCTTGCAAACTAAAAAGCTAGATGATATTCATGAGCAAAGCGATTTAGTCTGTTTAGACAAATGATATAAAAGTCCTTTGATCTATTCTCCGTCTTATCTTCTTATTCCTTCATTCTTCCAGTTATAAGGTTATTCAGCCGTTTTACCAGCCATGTCTATCGGAATGCAAGATAGCCCAGACCCCACGATCTGTGAAAATGAAAAGGCCCAACATGACAATATTCAAAATAATCAGCCTTCATCGTCGTCTGATTTATCTTACGAAATCACCAATGAAAAATGGAACCACCCACGATCCAACATAGCAAAGACACTGGCAACATTCTGGAGCTTCCTAATAATGGGAGCGAATGACTCCGCATACGGTGTAGGATACCCTCTAATGCCCATAGCAGTTGTAATATTATACTAATCCAATACCGTTCCCAGCCACTCCTTCCATACGTACATGACCCCCAAACCTGAACCCCACCTCCCCTTCTAACACATTACCAGCTCGAAACCTACTACAACCTCTCCTACACAGTTGTCTCCCTCGTCTTCCTCTCTCCATTCCTTGGCTACACCGCAGCCGCAGTCTTAAACGAGAGAGCACACTGCGCCGTAGGCCAACGAGGCGTAGCCTTCATCTCATCTCTGTGCCATCTGATAGCATACATCTTGAACTGTGTGCATCCGCCATACCCCGTCCTCGTTGTGTCATTCATATTTGCAGGTCTAGGAAACGGCCTCGCGGACTCAGCATGGAATGCCTGGATTGGGAACCTCCATAATCCGAATCAATTACTCGGTCTGCTTCATGGGTTTTATGGTGTAGGTGCTGTTATCAGCCCTCTCATTGCATCATTGCTTGTTGCGGATGCTGGTTTGCCGTGGTATTATTTCTATTACATCATGGTATGTGGTATTTAGTTCACTTGGTATACTACCTAGTATATATCTGACTAATGGTGACTGGTTTACCTAGATCGGAGGCGCTGCAATCGAGCTTGTTGTCTGCGTTGCGTGTTTCTGGGATTCTACAGGAGAAGCATTCCGACTAGCCAAGAAACAGCAGCCTGGCAAACCATCTCAGGAAGCAGGGTTGTGGAGCGTCCTATCCACAATGCCCTCTGCACGAATTACTTGGACCTGTGCAATCTTCCTACTTGGATACGTTGGCGTCGAAGTCGCGCTAGGAGGATGGGTTGTGACATTCATGAAAGAAGTGCGACATGCCGCACCATTTTCTAGTAGCATGACATCTACAGGATTCTGGCTCGGCATAACCGTTGGACGGGTTATCCTTGGATTCATCACTCCTGTGATTGGCGAGAAGATTGCTATCACGGTAGGCTCTCCTAGCATGTGCATTCCACTCGGACTAAAAGCTCACCCTTTAATAGATTTATATCTCCCTCGAGATAGCATTCTGTCTTATCTTATATCTGGTTCCGAACTTCTACGCCGGCGCGGTCGCCATATCAATGCAGGGTTTCTTTCTGGGTCCGTTGTTCCCGGCGGTTGTCATTGTTACGACGAAACTATTGCCGAAACATTTACATGTCAGCGCCATTGGATTCGCGGCAGCCTTTGGGGGTAGTGGCGCGGCGATTCTTCCGTTCATTGTTGGTGTGCTTGCGCAGGCTAAGGGTGTTGAGGTTTTGATGCCATTTACTATAGCCCTTTCGGGAGCGATGTTGCTTCTTTGGAACCTCCTTCCGAGAATTCCTAAAGACAAGAGTGCATCAGCTAAGAATAACCGTGAGGCTTGTGGGGCATAATATGGCGTGCCCATGTCAGGAACAGCAAGCTCAGGATGGGGGCCGTGGGGTCAGTGGTGAAGAACGCTAGTAATTGATGCCATCATAGGCTGTAAACAATGAATTTCAGCAATTTTAAGGGAATTCCAGAGCTTACCATGACATGTTTCAGGGGGCAGGACTGGGGAGAAAGAAATGTGGTCCCATAGCCGAGAGTCCAGCTATCTCGGAGTTAAGCCGATGTCTAGCGCTGTTCAGTGCCGGTCCACTTCTCCGCAAATCCACGGGATCTCCTGAAAAGACCCAGGTCGGGGATGTCGGCATGCCGGAATAGAAATGGATTGATGTCCAATTCCATAAGTCAGACAGTGCGAGATATACTCGGAAATGCCTTCGCCTCCTTTGCGGTAGAAATATCCGCATCATGACAAACAAGCCCTCAACAGGAGCTGTCTCAGGACTCTCGGTATAATCCATTCTATCAAACCAACATAAACCAAGATAAATCAAACTAACTAATCCCAGACACTCCCTCCAAATACCAAACAATGGTGGAAAACCACCCATCTCATCCACCTAAACATCCTAATAGCAAGCCTAATCCTCTTCTCCAGCACACTGGGCTACGACATCTCCCTAATGAACAGCCTCCAATCCCTCCCCCAATGGCAAACCTTCATGTCCCACCCAGCAGGAATAAAAATGGGCTTCATAAACGCCCTCCAAAACATAGCCTGCATACTCTTCCTGCCCATCCAGGCATGGTCCGCCAACCGCTTCGGCCGCAAACCCACCATTCTAACCGGGTACATCTTCATGATCCTCGGTGTGGGACTTCAATCCGCCTCCCACAATCCCAATACATTCATCTATTCCCGCGTGCTGGTAGGCATTGCCGGAGCCTGGTTCCAGTGCGCTGTGATTCTCGTTACGGAAATCGCGTATCCGACGCATCGCTCGCTCGTCACGGCTATCTATATGTGTCAGTACTACGCTGGATCCTCGCTATCTGCGTGGATTTCTTTCGCGACGAGGGATGTGCAGAGTAACTGGGCGTGGCGCGTGCCTGTACTTATGCAGATTGCGTTGCCGCTTCTTGCATTACCTGGGACACTGTGTGTGCCAGAGTCGCCGCGTTGGCTGATTAGTCGTGGGCGTGTTGATGAGGCGAGAGGTATTCTGGTTAAATTCCATGCTGGTGGGGATGAGGGTTCGCAGTTGGTGGGTTTTGAGATGGAGGAGATTAGTCAGGGTCTTGCGCTGGAACGGAAGGCTCGACGGGAAGCGCGCTGGGTTGATTGTGTTAGGACTTCTGGGAATCGGTATCGGCTTTTCTTAAGTGTTTCTTTGGGTGTTTTTGCTCAGTGGAATGGAGGGTATGTGTTGATTTGGGCTTTATATTGTCCAGATCCGTTGCTAACTGGATGTCTCTAGTGGTGTGGTGTCATACTACCTAACTCTTATACTCGATACAATCGGTATAACCTCGTCAACAGATCAGACTCTCATAAATGGATTTCTCCAGGTCTGGAACTTGGTGATGAGCGTGGTGGGTGCTTGTCTAGTCGACCGCGCTGGCCGCCGTGCGTTGTTCATTACGTCGACTGTGATCATGTTGATCAGTTATATCTTCATCACTGCACTATCGGGAAGCTTCGTGACGACGGGGACCGCTGCTGTCGGAACAACTGTGATCCCTTTCTTGTTCATCTACTACGCCGGTTACGATATCGCTTTCACGCCGCTACTGCTGGCGTACCCGGCAGAGATTTGGACGACCTCGCTGCGTGCTAAGGGTGTCGCTATCTCCATGATATCGAATTATATAGCGTTGGTTTTCAATCAGCTTATTAACCCGATTGCGTTTGAGAGGATTTCTTGGAAATATTATTTTGTGTTTTTAGTCATGCTGCTTGTTATTTTGGTTGTCGTTTGGAGGACTTATCCTGAGACCAGGGGGAGGTCGCTTGAAGAAATTGCTTGTATTTTTGACGGGAAGGGGGTGCGTGCTACTTGTGCTAAAGTGACCACGGAGGGAAGCCATAGTGAGAAAATTGAACATCGAGGGATGTGATATGGAAGTTGTAGAACTTGTTCATTGCCCAAAATGGACATCAATGTTTGACGTGACTCGTAGGAAAAGTAAAGATACATCGCGCAATGAGGCCGTGAGACACATCAGTCGTAAAATAAAGGTAATAATCACCTTTGAAGCAGATTACTTCGGGTCGTACTTTTCTTTCCAGATCCTATAGAATCCATTAGATTCGAATCGCAAATTCTCAGTCAGTTGAACATACCATGAATTCCCAAGAGTAGGGCATCCATTCTTCTCGGCAAGTCTGTAATACTTGGCTGCTTTGAACTATAGCCACATCGAGTCAGAATAGGCTCAGAATATACAACCAAGCAGAAATCACACGTACCTTGTCTTTCTTACCCCCGAAACCTTCGAGGTAACACCATCCCACTTCATTCATAGCATCAGTATCACCCAAGTTCGCAGCAGTCTCGTAATACTGTCTAGCAGCAGGAGGATCCTTTGCTATACCCCACCCATTGCGGAAGCAATTTGCCAGCTCGAACATGGCCAAAACGAGCTCGCCTTTTGCAGATCCCCCCTTGCTCACCCCAGCACGGAGGGCCTCCGCCTCAACCGCAGCTGAGTTGGACGCTGCAGCAGAGAGATAGGTTACGGCGCGTGGGGTATCTACAGGACAGCCCCATCCATGTCTAGACATCTATTAGTAGGATTTTGAGAAATAGCTGGACATGATCTTACCGCAACGCGAGGCCATAAAGAACCTGACTCAGGGGATTATTTGCGCCATTCGGATCGGCAAGTTGTCCAAACATTTGAGTTGATCTTTCAAGGTCTATGATCGATGTCAGTAACTATCTCCAGCCAGACATAAAAAGCAAAACTCACCACCGGATTCATGCAATCGAATCGCCTCTTGAATATTAATCTATAATGTGTTAGTCTGACATTCCAACTGCAACAAACACCGCAAATATATGCGCAATCGACACCTACATCTTCATTCGGATCAATCCCAATCCGACTCTGACTCGAACTCCTCGGTCTAGCCTGCTCCAGCCCCAGTCCCAAACCCAGCGATGCCTCCCCCTCCCCTTGCCGCGGCAATGACGAGCCGGACTGCGCGAACTGCGGATTCCGCTGCACAAGCACAGTAGCCCTCTTTTCCCACAACGCCTCGCGCTCCTGGTTGCTCGCACTGCGATCATCATCGATCTGCGGCAGGTCCGCGGGGAGGTTAGCAGAGCTAACGGAGGAGTCACGCGAGTTACTGCGACTGCGGGGGCCGAGATGAAGGAGGTTTGAGAGACGGCGCTCGCGATGGGGTGGTGGGGATTGTGAGGTTGCAGAGGCAGGTCTGGGGGAGCGGTTGAAGAGCTGGAAGCTCCGGCGCGGAGAGGTAGGTTCTTCTTGAGTTGGTGATGATAGGTATTGGGTTTGGTCGTTTGGATGAGATGGTGGGATTAGTATCTCTTGGGTATGGGTGTCTGAACGGATGAGCTTGAACTCAGGTGCTGGGGGTGTTTCTGGTTCATTTTGAGCTGTTTGGGCGCTGAGGTCGTCGCGTTTGTGGAGGATGTTGCGTAGTGAGGGCATGATGCGTATCTACTTATCCGGATAGCAGCGGGGAGTGGATATGTGACTTCTTTGATTGCCGACTAAGGTATTTAGATATGAGAGAGGTGTCAGGAATACTTGTAGGGCTGAGTGTTTTAAAGGGAACAATAAATAGTGGCTGTGTAGCGGCTTATGTCCCGTGGACTGGGGTCCGGAGAGTCTTGGCCAACGGCTAATAGCCCGTGTGCACACAAATCAATATATTAGATATGAAATGAAATAACTTATGGGCAATATGCCAGAGATGGAATTTCCCCAGATGAAACCTTAGTATAGATCGCTTATCGCATTCTCCACGGGGGTGGCGTGCTGCATTAGACCCTGCATATATCAGAGTGCATGGACTCTTCTTTACCTCGGGAAATACAATGTTTACTTCGTTCATTGGACATAGCTCTAGAGTGGTACCAGTCACATACGTTCAGGCACTCTTGAGTATCTCGTCGTATCATATTCTGGTCAAAGTGTTCTACGATGGAACTGGCCCAAACAGATTCATGTCAGACATCGGGCAATTCCAGGCCCAACTCGCTTGATAACATGTCGTGAAACCATGTGTGTCCGAATATAGAGTAAGAATCAAAATGGTATTGCAAGGTCTAACTCGGCAGATGCAAATAGCCCTTATAGTTTTGTACACAATGCCGAATGCAGTGAGCTATTGAGCCCATTTACAGGGCCTTGGACGCCATGATGCCTAGGAATTGTTAGCATATCTTCCATGTACCGGCCGGGGGGTGGATAACTCACGCTCAACATCAGCAACGCTCTGCTGGAGGATCTGCTGGAGAACCTTGGGGTTCTCAAGCTCCTTCTGGATCTTGGCAATGACGGACTCGGCAAGCTCACGCTGCTGGCGCTGCTTGACCTGGTTCTCGTAACGCACCCACGAGTCAAGGACCTGCTTGGCCTCGGCAGCGAGGGCAGTGCGCTGCTGGAGCTCGTAGGCCTGGGCCTCGAGCTGGGCGGTTTCCTGAAACAAACTGTCAACGAACCGACCATCAACGTATGCGACCGAGTATTCCTACCTTGGAAACAGCGAAGAGCTGCTTGGTAACCTCAACAACGCCAGACATCTGGGAGACGTTGTTGATACGCTGCTGAACAGCGTTGGTGTGGTCGGCACGGGCAGCGTTCAGGATATCCTTGTGCTTCTGGACCTGACCCTCGGCCCACTCACGGTAGGCAGGACCACCGTACTTGCCAACAGCGGTGAAGACAGACAGCAGACAGAAAGCAGCGACGGTCTCCTCGTTCATGACGTACAGCTCGTTGCTGATGGCGGCGATGGACAGACCGGCGGCGGCAGAGAGAGTAGCGGTCTTGGTGACCAGGGAGTTGCCGGGGATGGCGTTCAGGATGGACTGCGCCTTCTTGGCGGGCTCCTCGGCGGGAACGTTGGAGGCCTGACGAGAGGAGGTCAGGTTCGCAGTGACGGCAGGGACACCACGGGCGGGAAGAGCCGGCCGGAGTCGGGATGCGCCTAAGGTGAGTTAGTAACTAAAGGCATCGAGTCGATCAGACGGTCGCGGATCGTATATAGCGTACCAATGGCGCTCTTGGCGAGACGTGAAGCCATTGTTGCAGATGGAAGAATCTTGGTCAATGGGGTGGGTGAACGGGATTGAGGAGACTTGAGGTTCGGGATGGCTAGGAGGTGAAGACGCTAGCCGTTTCGGGCGTTGGTTCCGTGTCGCGGAAAAACCAGCTTCCGAGATGGTCCAAACGATAAAAAAAAGTTGCAGATAACCCGTTCACAGTACACTACAAGACGTCTGCCCAAAATGCCTGCACTTGTTACGGATTCAAGCTCTAAGAAGCGCAAGAGCGGCAAGAATGCCAGCGGCCCATCTTCCAAACGCCGCGCTGTCGCCGATGACAATTTCGCCGAGAAACTGTCTACCATTCAAGAACTAGAGAATCAAATTGCGGAGTCGCGGAAGGGCTACAACAATATTGCGACCCTCCTCTCCATGCTCAATGTCGAGAAGTCGGCTGAGAAACCCGAGATGGCTGTGGCTGTCTCTCTTTGCCGTGTGTTCAGCCGATTGATCGCCGGAGGAAACTTGACCGAGTCAAGCCGCGCCGCTGAGAACGAGAAGATCGTTGTGGCATGGTTGAAGGAGCGTTGCCTTGATTATCAGAATGCTCTTGTGGCTATCATGCGTGAAGCAGATGCTTCCTCTCAGGTATGTGTGGTCTTGATCTGCCGAGTGTTATTATTACTGACGGTCTCTAGATTGCTGCTCTGACCCTGAGCATGCGCATTGTCAAGGAACGTCTTGCCCATATCCCGGGTGCCGAGAATAATGTTTGGTCGACGGGTTTCTTCAAAGATATCTTCGCCGCCATCATCGAGGCCAATAACGGGCAGGATCTGCAGTCCGAAGCTGTTGCCAAGTTCGTGAAGGAGTATGAGGATGTGAGATATTACACTTTCACGCAGATGGCGTATGTATATCTTTTCCCCCTGCTGTCGAGTATTGTGGCTAACTTATATTAGTGATTATGCCTCTACTAAACGGTCCCCCGAAATCCTTGAGACCCTGATTAAGATCCTTGAGACCTGCGATGAGGTACCAGGACCAGAACACAAATTCGAAAACTTCTACGCGAAACGAGATACCAAGAATAAGCGCTTAGTTTCAGCAAACGCCCACAAAAAGCAAGCACAGGAGGCGTGGTTGGCCATTCTACGAAACAATCTCTCACAATCGCAGCGGAAAGGTCTGCTACGTATGATGGTGCACAACATCGAGCCGTGGTTCAACCGACCAGAAATGCTGATGGACTTCCTGACGGACTCATACAATGTCGGTGGTGCGACATCTCTCCTCGCGCTGTCTGGTCTCTTCTACCTGATTCAGGAAAAGAACCTGGACTACCCTCAATTCTATTCCAAGTTGTACTCTCTTTTGGATTCCGAGCTGTTGCACTCAAAGCACCGATCACGATTCTTCCGACTGTTGAATACCTTCTTGTCCTCAACCCATCTTCCCTCCACACTGGTGGCCAGCTTCATCAAGCGTCTCGCTCGTCTTGCATTGAACGCCCCTCCCTCTGCCATTGTGGTGATCGTTCCGTTCATGTACAACTTTTTCAAGAATCACCCTACGACTACATTCATGATGCACCGATCTATTCGGGATAAGGATCTCCTCGCAGAAGTGGAAAAAGAAGGCATGGATGATCCGTTCGATCCAAATGAGTCAGACCCCAACATGACCAACGCTATTGAGAGCAGTCTTTGGGAGATCGAGACTCTGCAATCCCACTTCCACCCCAACGTTGCAGCTATTGCACGGATCATCTCCGAGCAGTTCACAAAGCAAGCATACAGTCTGGAAGATTTCCTTGATCACACGTATGCGGGCATGGTTACTGCAGACCTTGGAGTGGAAGAGAGAAATCTCAAGAAGATTCCTGTTGTCGAGTACCAGATTCCCAAGCGTATCTTCACAGATCGTCTACTAGAAGAAGATGGTGGCGTGGACTCCGGTCCAGGGTGTTTCATGCGGGATTTGTGGGAGTTCTAGGGGTTCATATATCAGCGTATACCAATTCAATTTGTTTGACAAAGAAATTCCCTCAAGGGTTTAGACATTGCGGGGTATAATCATACATAATTTCCTGCCTTGAAGAGAAACGATCTACCGACGGATCCCTTGCTGCGAGTTTAACCCTAGAAGTCCCAATGCTGAATGTGAGCATTAGTATGGGCCTCGCAGCAATGGTCATAAGACAAATCCACTAGCAGATCAAGAAGCCAGCTACTCCGCACAGCGTTCTTGTTGGGCTCGACCTTGTTTCATGGCTATAAGTGAAACTAGATGCCGAATCTAGCCCCTAGTTACTTTGTATGGATCAACATCAGAAATATATAATATTTTGTCCCACAGTACTCAGTCATATAATATTTCAACTCGTTTCATGTTATTATGGCTACTATTTCTAACATTGTTTCCTATGCATGTCTTTATTGACTTTGGTTCCATTGATATACCCAGGTCATTGGGCTGGCAGGCTGGGGAAATATTCGGTATGCCTTATGGATGGCGATCAATCTACCCCAACTCCAGACTACTAAACCATATGGCACCCCTTGGTATGAGATTGATGGTACGTAGATCAAGGCCAGAGAAATGCTTGGTGGGCTACAGGAAATGAGATTGGTGTTCACCACAGCCCTATACATACACTGATCGTCACCAAAACAAACCGCCAAGGGATGACATTCCAGTATGCCCCTACGAGTCATGTTGGGCCACACTTCACGCGTCTCATTGACAGGTATAAGCCCTTCGTTATATGGCGGAGCAATTCTCGTGGGCTTTCAGCCACCATTACAAAATGAAGCCATGCCGCAGCCACCCGGTGACCATGATCGCAGATACTGACAGTTAAGCTCCGACACTCTTGCCATAAAACCGATGAACTTCTCCTAGGCAAGGTCTCTAGTTGAGTCTGTCTCGATTATTTCCAATACTTGCTAGCAGGCATTCTCCAGCCAAAGTAAACGACATCTTTCGTTAGGTAACACATTAATGCTTCACTATTAGTGCTATTGGAATGTGACATTCTCCAAACGCCCTTCGGTCTCAGTTTTCGAATGCCAACAAGCGACCTCCAAGCTCTGTTCTGTGGGGCTATGTGAGATCCAGGCAATTCTTGCCGTCAGTTAAGTATCGCGACGCGCCACCAGTATTTGAAAGTTATATCGCGTTCTCCGATCCCTCAGCTCGCCAATTATACGCAATTTGCCTTCTATCGCCTTACTTTCTTTGAAATCCAACTGTCCATTGACTGTTTCCTATTACAATGTATTTCTCGAAGAGTATTGTTGCCGTCATGGCTTCGCTCATGACCCTGGGCCTCGCCGCCGACCCTCTATCCTTTACTTCCTGGCCTAAGGAGCCCCTCGAGTCTGGCAAACCAGTCACCCTCACATGGATCGGTGCCGATCCTGACCAGGTAATCACCTTTTCCGATCTCAACCCAAAGCAAAACTGAACCCGTTTAGCCTGTGACCATCCTCCTCCGCCAGGGTTCCTCGGGCGACCTACAGGATGTGAAGCCGGTTACTACCGATGCCCGAGGCGGTAGCTTCACCTGGACTCCTGACAACGACATCAAAGGTGGAAATACCTACGCGTTCCAGATCAGACAGAAAGACCAGACTAATTATACTGCTCTGTTGAAGTCGGCCGGTCAGCCTGCCGCTGCTATCCCCGAAGCTAAGGACACCACCAATCGTAAGGATGCTACCTTCGAAACTGGCACTTCTACTGGTACTACTGCGGGCACTACTGCGGGCACTACCGGCACCAATGCCGCCCTCAACGCTCAAATCACTGACGGTACCCACGCGACACAAGGAACCCATACCACAATGACCAGCACTACCAGCAAAGACCTCATCAGCTCCTCTGCCAACCTATCTGGTAGTCCTTCTAGCTCTGCTGCTGCTAGCTCAACTGAGAGAGCGATGGCCTCGGGCACCAATGTTGTCAATGGCAAGGAAGCATCCTCCACTGGAAGCATGCAGAATGCCGCTTCTATCCCACAATACTCTGTACAATTGGTAATTGGGATTGCCAGTCTGTTGGCTTACCTTGTCTAGTTCAGTCATTTGCTTTGGCGTTTTCGGTCTCTTTTTTGAGCTGTTTGGGTTGAAGTCATGCAAACTGATATAGCTTCTTGTATATATAATACCCCTGAATATCATTGAGATACAGGTTGAGGTGTTGAGAAAATCAATTACATTTTCAATAACATGAGACATCTACAAACAAAATCAAAACACGAAGAAAAAGAAAAGAAAGAAAATTAAAATGACCAGTCAGTTCGCACTGTCAGTTCATAATCTGCCACTAGCGCCGTGGCGTTTCCGATGGACGCGGAGTTGGAAAACAAAGAACGATGATCGACTGATCTTCCGCAACTTCCTTTCTTACCGCTATTTCATTGTTTTTGGGAATATTCTGCAGCTTGGGGCTACTTCTGTCTTATTTGTGATGATCTTTGCATGAGACAAGTGCCTTTATTGATCAGAGGCCCTCCCTTGCGATGCCTAGATGAATAAGCAGAATCCTAAGACAACCTCACATCCAGCTCAATTGACTTCTAATACTGGTATGAACCTCTCCTTCACACTTCACAGATCTGGTTTTTTTTTCTTCTCCGATTTGGTTCCTCATGACAGGCGCGGGCGGTCACCATGGGGGGCTTCAAAAGGGTCATGAAGCGTCTCAGCCCTAGCAAAAATCTTATACCGATTGCTGCTGACCCCCCTATCCGTGCAGAAGCGCCAAAAGTCAATCTCCCACATGTGGACACGCAATTGAATATGCACCAGAACGGATTCCTCGAACCCGAAGGCCAGAATGGTTGGTGATATCCATCCCACCCACCCTACCAAGCTTACAATCCCCACATTCCAGGCACCTCCAACCAAGCTTTCTCGTCTCCATCAAACTCTCCATCGAACTCTCCGAACCCTTCCGTGATTCCCGCCGAAGCGAGTAATGGCGAGCCCCCCACCTCAGAATGGTCAGCCGTTGGACATGCAGCGACAGGGAAATCAGGACGTGTTATCCATAATCTTCAAGAGGAGATAGCACGTCTTACGCGCGAATGCACACTCCAGAAGTCCCGCGCGGAGGAGTACCAAAGAACCAACGAGGCCTACAAGATCCAGCAACAGAATATGAACGAGCGTCTACGGAACCTTGAGCAAGTCAACGAGACCAACCTCAACTCAATTGCACGGAAAGACCGGAAGCTGGAAGAATTAAGACTGGACCTCCAACACGAACGCAGCAAGAGGCAGGATGCGGAAACGGACGCAAATCAGACAAACCACATGATGCGCGAGGAACGAGAGAACCACAATCGCGAAACAGCCCGGTTATTAGAGATCGCCAAGCACCACGAGACACAGTATGAGGTGCTGTCCAGCGCGACGAAACGCGACAAGGCGGAGTTTGCGAAACGTATCAATGCCATCTGGGCTGAGTTCACGACTATCGCCGACGCACACAAAACACATATACACTCCACGGAGCGGCTGGAGGTTCTCGCTGATCAGAAGAATAGGGAATTCGACTCCCTCAAGGAATCTTATGAGAAGCTACTCGCCAACCACTCTGCGTATAAGGAAGAGAAGGATAAGGAATTCCGCGACACGATCGACTCGGCTAAATCCAATAATGATAATATTGCTGGTGTTCTTGCTCAGCTCAAGGAGACCGAAACAGAAATGAAGTGGGCGATTCGGCTCAATGCAAGTCGACAAAGCAGTGAGCAGTGATTAATCTGTGCTTTGTCTTTGCTTGTTGTCAGCTCTTGTTGCCTCAATCTCCGACCTTACCCAAGCGAATTGTCCATCACCGCCCATCCCTTCTCTCTGCTCTCTGCTCGAATCTCTCTTGCTAAACGCCAGACCGCCCTCCAACTACATTCTTCCATCCCAATTTCAACATTCCCATTCGATCCCATGTCTTCATGCCCTATCTACCACTCCTATTCGTTTCTCATAGACCATTCTTGGCCGGTGCATGGCGTTTCGTTTCCCTTTGCAGCAGATACCCGTCGTGGCAGAGTTCAATTCGTGTACCCTTTGATTTTTGTTTCTCTTCTTTCACCTGCATTTGCATTTTCATTTGGTCAAATCCGGGCATCATTCACCTCTTTTCCCTGTTCTGTTGACCCCTTGTTAGATATGACTTTTAACGACCTGCATATTTTTACCTGGATATGATTACATTGTGATGAACGTGATGGCGAGTCTTTCTTGCTTGTGTCCGGAAGACCATTAAAGTGGCTACATATTTCCTTTCTGCCTAGATGTTATGGGCCTTATTATGCTTAGCTCTGAAATTTATATTCTTTTGACTTTTATTTGACTTGTTCTACATGTATTCCGCTTTTTCCATCGATTGCTGTGATTCATCCCCGTCGTTCTGTTAGAAGATTGGCACCGCGGCCTCACTAGGTAGTCCGTCGATAGCTATTGACTTCTAAAGCTGATAGATGTGGCAACCCGGGTGTTCCTTCCATACGCAAAGGTCTGAACCTCGCCGGCGCCGGCGCCGAGATAATAGGATCCGTTAGAATCACCTCACCTCACCTCTTCCTACTTCCTACCCCGTCACCTCCTCCTCGCCCTTACCCCTTCATCTTCATTTTGATCTCATTCACGTACGCACTGTTGACTGCAGTGTACTCTATCAAATCGTTTGCCTAGGTGTCTGACCATCCAGTGCTTTTGTAATCGATTTGCCGTTGACTACCTACCTCTTACTTAACCGTTTGTCTCCAAGATCCTCCCCACCAATCAACCTACCTCCGGATTGCTCCTTTCATTCACCTTTCAAACCAATTAACGCCCTCAAATTGATTGAAGGCACAAAGCATTCTGTATCCAATCGATTCGCGTCCATCTGATTGACGTGCGACTTCAATCCAGGTAAAGTCTGCATCGATTCACGGCTGTTCATAATTTTCAAAGGCGCCAGTCAAGATGGCTGATAACCGGACGCTTCATTTGGCTTCAATGTGGTTAGTGGAGGACCAAGGGGTAAGTCCATATACCTTACCATCCTGCATGGACCGGGACTGACTGGACTCGAAACAGATCACAGAATTCCAAAGCAAGCTCAAGTATGAAATACCATTGCATATACTTGTGTCGATTAAAACTGACTTTTTCATAGTAAATTGCACCCCGGCGCTTCGATCAAGGTCAAATATCTACGTGATAAAGAGGTAGGCTTTTGTGTTCTATTTACAATGGTGACTCTGCTAATATTACCCAGATCTTGTCTGTCACTGGTCAGTTTGATGGAGTGTTTGAGGGCGAAATCATATCGCTACTTGCAAGGTATATCGAAGAGCATCGTAATGATGATCTACTCGAGGTATGTCTAGATGCCTCCCCAGTACCCAAGTTACATTATACTAACGCCTCTGCTTTACTCAAGATTCCGAGAGTCCGTCAACTTTCAACCTCGACCAACTTCGATTTCACTCCTCTTCCTGGCGTTGGAAACGATGCGCAGCCAGACATGGAAACCCTAGTGGAGGACATTATGCCAACACAAACCACTAGCAATGGACGCCTTGTCAAGTTCTGGTATCCCTCTCTGGCGGAAATAGGTCGCATCTCTCGAGATGCGAGCCCTCTCCTAATCCGCATTTCTCAAATAACAGAAACGCGAATCAAAGTGCCGGGGACTCGAGGACTCCGTATTTCTGCACAATCCGAGGAGAAAATCCGCGAGGCAGTTGATACACTCGACTCCGTTGAAGAATGCTTGGTATAGTGCTATGTCTTGTTTTTATACGTTCTCTATGCTAATATTTTCTAGGATCTCATTGAGAACCCTAACCGAGGGCTGATCATTCTTACTCCAAACCAGGACACTGCTACATTTCGCATCATGACATTTTCACAGATCAGTCCCACTGCCGTGTGGCGTATTTTAATTGACCGAAATGTTCCTTTTTGCCTCCCAAAGATAATGACTCTGGTGGTCTGTGAATTCGACGATCTCGCTAACGAATTCCGTCCACTTCGCAGACTTCGACAGCCGCCGCAAGTGGCGCTGAAAAAATCGAGCGTTGCTCGTGACTGGGAAGGCTATCGTTTTCCAGAGATAGGTCCGAAAAGCGATCCCCTTCTAGGGAAAATTGATCAGCATCTCGCGCCTAAAACTGAGACCTCCAATGACAAGATCGATGAGCACCCGTATCTCTCTACCGGAAAGGCAAAAGCTGTCAACAAATGGATCTCTCGGGACATCGGCAAACGACCATTTGCAGATAGTCATACAGAAAAACCACTGGAAGACGAAAACACCTCCCCTAAGCTTGCTGCGTCCATGCCTCCGCCCGAGTCTGGCGTTTCCACACTACAGGATCAGAGATCCTCGGGCCTATTCAAGCCCAAACCCGCAGGCATCAAAAGACGTATGGTTATGCTACCAGATGGAACCGTGGTACCCCCTAGCGAGGTTCAAGAAGAAATTCCGAAAGACGCACCTTTTGCCCAAAATCTCTTTAGCAGACTCAGCTATAGGGAGAGAGTCAGGGATCAACAGATGGCCGGTTCGTCTATCTCAGACCACCAAGAAAAAGGACCGGTCAGTATTTTTCGCAGCGCGACTGGCTCCACTACTCCTGGTACAGCTTCCAAAGAACTAGGCACAACCCCTGGAGTAACCGGTCCTGCGGCTTCTGCCTATTTTACCTCTGCTCAGAGACCAAAGGCAATTGCCACTACTCGTCTTCCAGTTCTACCAGCTCCTCCGGGCGTAACCCTCAAACAGCCGGAAGATACGTCAGATGCCGCTGATTTGACTGTTCCCTCCACTAACCAAGAAGAAAAGCTGGCTCGCACTCTTCGCCAACCAATTCGTTCTAGTTCTCCAAGAGTCGACAACCAGCCTCTCGGAATACCCGGGGAAGTGGATTCAAATGTGAATACAAAGTCTCAAAGGCGAAGCGTTGATTCAGTAATGGGGGAGATAAAGCTAATGCTCGAGACGACTAAGACCACGAAGGAACCTGGAATAGAGGAAGCGTCCAGCAAGCCAAAGATAACAGATCAAAAACAGCCAAGCAACACATCCACTCGGTTGGGTCTCGGCACGGAGGACACTGGAAGCCTCGGCACCCTCATTGATCTTGATTGTGAAGTGAAAAGCATTAATAGTGGTATTTCACTTGTTGCGTTTGATCGGCTGGCCACAGTCCCATCAGGCGTTCCGGAACAGTCTACAGATGCTGAGCACGACCAATTCCAGCATGGCGAGGCTCCTACTTTTGCTGAAACTGGTTATATCTTTGATATGCCTAATATCGACGATACAACTCTGCAACCTGAGCTAACTCCGATCATTTCTCCTTGTCCTGAGCCAACCCACGATCCGACGATCCTCCGTGTGACGGGTCCAACCCCTGTTCCTATTGAGGCTGCCCAACCAATGCTCGCTACAGATGCGCCATGGCCTGGCCCAGGAGCCACTGACTCTTATCATGGGAATGACATACCCGCAGGCAAACAGAAACATGAACAGGCTCCTGAACGCCGCAGCAAGGCCGATGAGGTAGCAATGGAATATTTGCTCCAGCAGATCAAGGACAATCCTAGTCCCGAAACTATCAGCATTGAAGAGATTGCGATACCTCTTGATGCTACCTTTGGAGATCCTGCACCTCAAAGTCTGTCTTCTGGCTCGCGTAACCGCGCTACGCATGACATTATCCAGCAACGTCATCAATCTGGTCAGAAGAGTGAGAAGGTGCCATTCCTTCATCCAGACCTAATTGATATCTCACCTGAAATGCTTTCTCCTCGCTTACGGTCATCTAGTTGTGACTCTTTGCAACAATCCGACTCTAAAATTGAGGAGCAAGATGCAGAGCCAGAAGTTGGCGAAAAGCTGGCTGTCTCGGAAGAGACTCAGACAAGGGAATTTCATGAGACAATGTTCCACCAACGGCCCCCTGATAAGGCTTTCCAATGGGTGGATGAAGCAACCAAGGCAGTGAAAAAGGCAAAGGTTGAAGTCCCCACTGGTAATCCCTCGCAGCGAAAGGAAGACACCGAAACCAATGCAGAGAAGAAAGCAAACGTTGAAGCCCTTAGTTCTAATCTCTGGCAGAGAAGGACAGGATCCAAATCCACAGAAGACCAGCCACGAAAGGGTACTACTTTGCCCACAAAGGCGTTTGTTAATCCATCAAGAGAAAAGAAGCAAATTCATGACTCGACAGAGAATCTGTTTCACTTTCTAGAGCCAGTTCTTGATTCAGTCCGCAGTTTTCCGGGAACATTGAGCCTTCAAATCGAGTTTGGTCTTATTTTCACGCCCAGTTTGCCAGCTTCAATCAAAGAGAGGGAGATGAGCTACAGGGAGGTTCACCAGTTGTTCTTCTCTAAGCATGACTTGACGCCACCTCCGATCTCATTCTTCAAGCGCTTGACTTCATCTCCTGCGGACATTGACTACCTCATCGATTTGGAGGTCCACGGATCTCGCCTGTTCGACCAGAAGTACAGTCACCGAGGCGTAAAGTACGAGTTCTGGTGCCGCGCTGGTCCAAGCAGGATCATTATTATCTCAGTTAATGAACATGGACATGCTATGATTCGCTATCCCGAATCCTCGCTAGGCACGGTGCACTTGAGTTTCCCTTCCCAAGTGTGGGATACAGCTGCTAAAGTGCAAGGCTTTATCGAATACATTACGGGGGCTGACCCAGATCTTGAAGAGGCTGCTCGAACGATGGCAAAAAGCATCCGAGTAGAACCAAACAATCAACAGCTTCGTATTCTCGTCCGTCTTCCCAAAGACTCAAAGATCAGAATCGATCAGGCGTTCATGGAACGGTGGAGCCGTCACCCTTACCGCTCGGCAAAGAGCAAGGACTTGTTTCTACAGATCAGCGAAACTCAAGAACTTTTTGGCACTACCTCCATCCTAGACCCGGAAATCAAGGTTTATCAGAACGCCCCGCTTGAGAAAATGGTCAAGGATGGAAAGCAGTGGTGGCAAGCCTCGATTGTCAGCAGCAGAGTGGATGAAATCATGAAGTCGAATTCCTTCCTTGAACCTGGTGAGCGCAACGAGTCCTGGTGTGCAACGGATCTCCTCGGTGCAGATGTCACGAATATCATCCCCTCTGCCGAGAACCCGGAGCTGAGTACTCTCGGAGCCAAAGTCGGTCATTCGGGAATTGGAGCAATGTTCCAACTTGCCAAAACAGTCGTGCAAAAGATCGATGCTGTCGGGTACTGGAACAGAGGTCCTGCCAGTATTGACAAGCGCACTACCACGTCGAACAACCACAGCCACGCTGGTACCGGTACTTTGAAGGACTCGTACTACTTGGACAAACAAGTAGTGCCCTGGGATCCGCCGAAGGATAAGAAAAAGTGGTGATGAGATGATATTGCTGAGATGGGGAGGATGGATATCGGGGAGTGAGAATGAAACAAATGTATTGTCATTGTCGTTTGGTTCTGGATCTTTATGGTCTGTGAGTTCAGACGACATGATATTGCATTTACGACTTGACATACAAATCTTAAGAAAAAAAAAAAAAAAAAAAAAAATAATGTTCAACGTATTAAGAATCATGTTGTTAGTTGAATTTAGCACTATTCGTTCAATGACTACTCCAGAAGATGAGCCGGATTTAGTCTGATATGAATCAGTTACTACTGCTACCACGACACAGCATTACATGTAGTCTCAATACCGATCTCTTTCTTTCAATTGAACTTCAAATTTGCATGATGAAGCCCCATCCCTGACACTCGTTTCCCGAAATTTTGCCTGACTGTTGCTTGTAGCAATACCTGCTCCGCCACCAGCGTGCTCTCTCTTTATCGCTGCTTTTTAGGCTGTTCGTTTGGCTTCTGCCTTTGAATATCGCAATGCCTGCGTCAGTAGAGCTCGTTCTTCCTTTATCGCTGTTTTGCGGGATGCTCGTTTTGCGTCGATATCAGCCATTGCTGCCAGCAGTGTCTGCGCCACCTCGGTGTGTCCTCCTTTTATCGCTGCTTTGTAAGCTGTTTGTTTAGGGTCAATGTCTGCTTTTGCTGCTAGCAGTGCCTGCACCACTGCAAGGTGACCTCTTTCTGCTGCCGCTTGAAGGGCTGCTGCGCCATCATAATTAGCGGGAGGTGCGTTGACGTCTGCTTTTGCTGCTAGAAGGATCTGCACCACGTCAAGATAGCCTCCTTCTGCGGCCGCTTGGATAGCTGTTCTACCATTATTAGGGGCGGAGAGTGCGTTGACGTCTGCTTTTGCTGATAGAAGGATCTGCACTATATTAAGGTGGCCTCCTCCTGCTGCCGCTTGAAGGGCTGTCCTGCCTTTAACTTCAGTAAGGGGTGCGTTAACGTCTGCGTTTGCTGCTAGAAGGGTCTGCACCACCTCAAGGTGGCCCCCTTCTGCTGCCGCTTGAAGTGCTGTTCTGCCAGTCTTATCAGCGGGACGTGCGTTAACGTCTGCTTTTGCTGCTAGAAGGGTCTGCACCACCTCAAGGTGGCCCCCTTCTGCTGCCGCTTGAAGTGCTGTTCTGCCAGCATTATAAGTGGGACGTACGTTAACTTCTGCTTTTGCTGCTAGAAGGGTCTGCACCACCTTAAGGTGGCCCCCTTCTGCTGCCGCTTGGATAGCTGTTCTGCCACAAAGTTCAAAGGGAGCCGCGTTAACGTCTGCTTTTGCTGCTAGCAGTGCCTGCACCATTTCCATGTGATTTCCTTTAGCTGCTATGTTGAGGGCTATGCCATGATTCACTTTGGCACCGACGTCAGCCCCTGCTTGAAGCAATACTGCTAGAGAACGAATGCATCCATCTCTCACAGCATATGACAATCCATTATCCAAGATTTCGCTAGTATTCTTAAGGCTGACAATCACCTCGGTGTATCGATAACGATTGTGAATGTCGCCTCTCATAAGGATGAAATCCTTCACATTCTCGGACAAAACGTGAGGCTGAAGCCTTGCGTAGTATAAAAGCAATGAGTGATGTTCGTGGGCCAATAGCCATTGTATGGAATCTGGTATATCATTTCTCTTGCTGTCGGTCTGCGGCTCCAACTCCCATGGTGTGCATGTAGGAACATCGTCGCCTTCTATACACCGGCGAAACAATCCCCACATGTCATTGTTCATTTCTGGGGTAAAATCAGTCAGATGGTTGAGCCAGTAAGACCTAGCGTAATTGAAGAACTGGAAGTCTCCCTCTAGATGAGGGGAACCCACATCTCCAAGTCTTTCTTGCACCGTCCTCTCTACCTCTCGAGTGCTGAAATGCTGTAGCTGGCGATGATGGGAAAGAATCTTTCGGGCTATCTGGGTAGTAACACTCTTGGAAGATATGGACAGAGTACTGGTGCCGAGCTGAATGGGGTGAATAGGAGTGCCAGAACCATTCTTAACTTTTGCTAACTGACGCTTGAAGTTGCTGAAATCCAGGTATGTCATGCACATGAACCCAAAATGCCGGTCAACGCTCGCCACGTCGAATTGTGCTGTGTGGGGACCGTTCGTGATGAAAAGACATTCCTTCACACTGCGGTGGACATAGTGTATAGTGTCATCCTCTTCATCGGCAAATGTCAATCCACAGCAACCATGGATGATTCTATCCATGTCATTGGGGACCTTCCCACGGTCAAAGGCCTTTTGCTCAAGAGAAAGGCTAAGGGCTTCTCGATATTCCATAACTGTCAATGGCCGCTTCACTACGACGCAATATTGTAGTATTTTCATTGCCTGCTCGGCCACCCTTCCCTCTCGAACACGACGAAGCTTTCGATCATAGAGCTCAGCCAAGCTGTGGGGAATATGTTTCAATGCTTCCAGGATATCGTGATCACAGTTCTGTGCGCAGAGCTCTTCAATACAAAGACTGGCCCAAAGGAACCTAAGTTTTTATTAACTCGTTAGCAGTGCATTTATGAATGCGTAGTCATTTGGTCTGGCCATGAGATACGCCTTCGATCAGGCGTGAACACTTACATTCCATCAGCCTTGTCCCTTAAGGTATTGCGTATCTCTGTGATGATTGCGGAATCCCCAAGAATCAAAACCTCTTCTTCCAAGCACTTGTCCAAAATCTTGGTGATATAGCAATCCATGTCCAAATTGACCTTCTTCTCATTCACCATAATCCTATACTGTGGTGTGTCTGATTTGAACCGTTTCTCAAGACCAGGTCTGCCAGCACAGAGGATTTTGAACCCAATGTATTTGCTGCAGAGTTCAACAATGGCCTGTGCCACAGCTTGAATATGGGCACTATCACATTCGTCCAGTCCGTCCAAGATGATATAGTAGCACTTCTTAGCCTTGCTGGTCTCTAAACATAATAACAAAAACTGAACGACGTCGATCGTGCTAAGGTCCCGGGTTTCATCCTCCAAGTAGAGGAGAGTCTCATAATCGCTTTGCTCAATCTGAGTATCGAGGATTTGACGAGCGAGACTTCCAAGAATGTTCCTCGCAGATAAAGATGCCTCATTGTCGACACGACAGAAGTAGTAGCATACGATCTCATTGCTCTTGCGGACCGCATGTAACTGTAAGTGATCCACCACACTAGACATAAGCACTGTCTTGCCCATGCCTATCGTACCTAAGCACCAGAGTATTGCAGTTTGTGGGGCGTTTTCCCACATATTAAACTCCGACTCTTTCTGAAGCCACTCAGCCGTGGTTGAAAATCGCTGCTTCCTTATCTGCCTCAAAGGAAATTCATGGTTGATAGGAGAAAGATTGTTTCGAATGGTTGACTTCAATTTCATCATTTCCCTTTTTCTCAATTTCATCCGCCACTTGCTTGCGTCTGCTTGTTGCTCCAGTGATGATTTGTAGAAACCTCGGGCGAAAGGTCGGAATATTGAATTCTCTCGGCTTTCATATTCTAGCAGCTTTTTCGCTTCTTGGTCTGCTTGCTTTGATGCGAGTGATACCTCAAGTTTGATCTTCTGTGTAGTTTCATCTAGCAGATCCAGGAATGGCTTGAACTCTGATTCAAAGGGGTTTATCATCGACGAAATGGTTTGCATAAGGCCGGTTCGACGGGAGACTTCGATGATCTTGACACACAGATTGATAATGATGGCGTAGAAATCACAAAGAGCACTTTGGAGACCAATGCAGTCGGGGTAGAGTTCGCCAAATTGTTGATACGTCGGTGCTGTTTTTCCGATGCGCATAATCATGCTCGAGACTTTGTCAAAGTACGAAACCACATTGCTCGCTGTCAATATGGCAGTCTTTATACTTCCCCAGACAAGGGCTGCAATTATGGGATTAGAGCTAACGAACGTGTTCACAACATCGGTAAATTGTTGCGTGGCCTCTAAGAAGGTATATAGCCGTCGAGCCATGGACGTCCTCGTCGCGCTGCTATTTCTAACATCGATTTCTGCGACAAACACTATGACGCTCGCAAGATCTGGCTTCGTGGTGCTTTCTTGAAATTCTCGCTTTTGCTCTTCTGTTAAGGTATTTCGAAAATTCTCCAATGCTGTATTGAGCGATTGTGCGGGGTCCGCCCCCTGGACTCCTACTCTTGGGGAGAGTTGAAAGGCCATCTAGGGGACTGTTCATAACGCACGGGGTAGTTGAAGTCCCCAAAACTTGATTCAAGGAAGTTCAGAGGCCACAGGCCGTGATTTTGTTGTTGCAGACTCAGAGTTGCGAAGGAAGATAGGCGGGGTTCAGACAAAAGCTGAGCCTCCTTAGAGCTGCAGCTATATAGACCAATTAGGGTTAGCCGCCAATGAACACGTCGCTGCCTGACAAGTACACTTATAGTATAAAGATGCTCAATTTATCCCTCTAGAAATCCCACGTAGAGTACTGGAGAATTTAAACAATGTTTCAATTGCTATTAGATCACAGAATGAGAACATCTTAGAGCCCCGATGTCCAACAATAATCTATGCTCAATGTATGATAATAAGCCTCTAAACTTAATGCGAGTATAATCTTCCCTTTAACCGAAGAATAATCATTCCTCCTCTTCCGGCGCATCATCTACACCACGCAGCCAAGCAGCTCTAGCATCAACCGCTGCCTTCCGCACATCACGCTTAGGATCATCAAGAACCGCCCGCAAGGACCTCAGAACCTGATTCTTGACAGGCAAGAGAGGTGAGATACCCGGCGGCGCACGCGCGTTAGCTGCAGCACCGGGTACCTGGTGTGTAGCGAGGAGATTGAGACATTTCAAAGCATCCGCGCGGAGACGGGGGCTATTAACCGCGCCGGGGCCGATATTTGTCGTTGTTGTTTTGAGGAGTCTGGTGACAAGACTCTGGACATGGCCACACTTGTCGATGACGACGACGCCGTTATCACGGATAATGACGGCGAGGGTGTCGAGAGTTGCCGTGCGAACGGCGACGGAGCCGGCGGTCTGGAGGTCGAGGGATTGCAGGAGAAGGGGAAGCAGGGTGGGGAGTTCTGGCATGACAAGGGCCGTGGGGATTGTGGAGAGGATACCCGCGAGGGCGGTAAGATGGGCTGGTTTGATGTGGTCGGGCGCTTTAGGGGCGGTCGCGGAGTCATCTGCACCAGCGATGTTCACTTCGCGGATGCGAGATGAGATCAGGGGGATGACGGTTGTGAAGAGACGCTGTCTGCAGAGGAGACGGATCGTGGCGCCGTTGGTTGCAGAGAGGATGTCGTCTTCGCCGAGAATTATGGAGAAACCTTGCGCTGCTGTCGCGCTGGTCTGCTGGTCTGGGGAGGAGAGGAGGGCGAGGAGGGAGGTTATTATGTGAGTGGTCGTGGGAGCTAAGCGAAGGATCAAGGCTTTCGATAGCCAGAAGATGGTGCGGATGGTTGCAGGATCAAGACTCTGTGATTCTGTGTCCTGGCCTTGGAGGAGAGAATCGAAGAGTTTCTCAGCGATTGTCACATCCTGCTTGGATAGGAACTTGTTGACGAGCAAGGCCAAGTGGCGCAGGTAGGCTTGATGTGTTGCTGGTTCGGTGCTCGAGACCGAACGATGGACCAGATCCAACAGCAGACCCGACATGTCCGGGTTCGTGTGAGGAATTTTGTCGCTGCAATCCTTGGATAATCCTGCGAGCAGGTATGTCGAGATGATGATCGTACGCTCTTGATCCGCATTTGTAGTCTGGGTGAACGGAATAGGCACGAAATCTTCGGCTGCAGAGAAGAGGCTGTAAACATTTTCAGCGACTTGTTCCTGCTTCTGGGTGGAAACAGATCGCACAAGGAGATTGCAAAGTCGGCCCAAAGTGTCAAGCACGGTAGGATCATTGAGGATCCGGTTCTTTGCCTTGCCAAAGGCCGATGCTGCGACTTCGCGGCAAAGTCCAACCACAACCTTGTCGAAGTACAAATCTACGCTCTGGTCTTGTTCCATGTTTCTCTGTTGCATAACATACAGCAAAGTGACGAGGATCGCGCGTGGGTAAGCAACTGACCCGGGTTGCTCCTTTTGAAGCAGGATAGACAGTTTGCTAAACAGACGACGGAAGAGTGTCTCGAAGATATCCCTCTCGACGCTGATCTGAGCAAGGGTCTCGAGCGTCGGCAGATACAGGGCTTCCGAGCCGTCATCTTCCTCGGGCAGTGTTGCAACGAACGCAGGGAAAGTTATATCCACAATCAGGCGGGGCTTATGCTTGGAAACCTCAGCAAGAGCAGCAATTGCTTCGTTCTTGAGATCATTCCGGCCCACAGATTCCTCCTTGAGAAGTATTTCGTCAAGGTATTGAACGAAAAGCCCAATCTCATTCTCCTGGAAGAAGCCACGCAAAGTCGATAAACGCAAGAAGCCCTTCAAGGCAGTCACTCGGAAAGAAACCTCTTCCTTGGCTGAACCCATCAATGCCTGGCCAAGGAGGTCCGAGAATTGGTCTTTGAATTCGAGTAGCGGGTTATCGATAGCAGCCTCACCACCTCGGGTGGTCCACTGTCCGAAAACGGTTATAGCAGCATCGAACAAGACATTCAAAGTTTCGAGAAGTGCCCTTTGTTTGACAATTCCATCCGCTTCTTGGTAAAGTGTGAAAATCGGGGCTACAACGGTTTGTACAACAAGGATAAAGGAAACAGGCGAAGCAGCAGCCACACAGCTGAGGATCGACTGGGCCGGCTTGGCCTTCTTGCTTTGGGGCTCCTGAAGTTGCTCATTACACTCCTTGGTGATTGGCTGGAGGAATTTTGCAAGAGGCAACTCTTGTGACACTTCGGTGACTCCTTCAGATAGCCGTTGGGCGATTGCCTGCAGAGCCTCCAGGGAGGTTTCAGATAAGAACTCCTCTTGGGCATTCAGAATCTCAAATTTGAGAACTTCCCATATGGTGATGGAATATTTGGACACTGTGTCGGGGTCATACGAATGGATACATGCGATCAATGTACTAAGTGCATCTTTCTATAGATCTGTTAGATGGCTTCACGATCACAGTGTGTTGAGCAATCTTACCTTTACATTGGGGGAAGTAGAATCAAGCTTGTCCAATAAAGCGGGAATAGCGTGGGGTGCAAAATGCCGTGTTGAAGAGATACAGTCTTGAAGACGACCCTTCAGATCTTGCGCTGTGATTCCATAGGGGTCGTTGGGCGGAGGTCGGAATGTGATTGGGAAGTAGTTATATACGGAATCGAAAAGTGTCTGTCTAATGTTAGAGGAATCCGATGTCTTGGGGAAATTACACATACCTCGACATGGTTCGAAATGTCCCATTCTACCATAATCACTTTCAAGATGGAGAAAACAATCATCAAATTCCTCGGGTCTTTCTCTCCCGTCATGATATCAACAACACCCAGAAGGGAGATCTCTCCCATATCACGCATAGCTCCGCGGTGGTTCGACATCAAATCATTAAGCAATTGATAGACGTGGAATCGCTGTGTTTGAGATCGAGACTGAAGATCTTGAAAGTTGGAAAAGAGCCTGTATCAATAAATCAGCACTGGATCATCATCGAGTTAAGGCTTTATCCCCGGCGAACATAGGGATGTCGCATGCAACCAGAAAGTATAGCACCTACGCTTGTGCTACCTGAGTAGCCAAAAACTTGTTAAACCGATCCAGACCCTGCAGGGTCTGCAACCCATCGACGGCACCTCCATCCTCAATTCTATCACAGAAGAATGTAGTCAAGACTTGGATCTGTTGTCTTGATAGGTATTTCGGTGAGAGGGCTTTGATAACGGCCGTAAGGTAGGAGATCGCTTTGCCGCGTAAAATAGGGTCTTCGTCGTTAATATATTCGCCAAGAGATTGGACTGTATCAATCAAAGTCGCCTTTTTAGTCTCAACATCTATAACCACCTCCGTTAATAATGCAATGGTTTGAAGTGGTCTCGAGTGCGGGGCGAATTGGCATACCATGCGCGATTCCCTCGGCAATGCGCTTGGCTTCTTCTTTATCGTGGTCCACGACCAGCATAAAGCTCTGCAGAGCCGACATGATACCAATCGAGCAATTAGGAGACCGACGTGTAGATTGCGGGGGCAAGATCAAGCTCGCATCGGCCAATTTCTTGTGGCCGGATGCCCTTATCGATAAGGGTCAGGTGATTCTGTTATCTCTCCATATCACGTGCCAAGGCCCGTTGCGTCATGGCTGTAGCGAGACCTGCTTCTGTGCCCAGCGTCATTGGCAGCAAGATGGCTCTAACCCGCAGCATGGGATCCAACCGACTAACAACATCCATTCTATTTACATTTATTCTCGCTAGTTCAGCATCTGCACTCTGGGGCCTATCATTCCCCTTACCTTCACGTCAACAGCCACTAGCTCTCGAGCACAAGGAGCATCAATCGATAATGGATAAGATTCTCCCTGGTATTGTCCAGCCACAGAAGACGGTTCCGGATGAGGATGTGAACTCAAAAGACAGTGGTAGCCCTATCATCTCAGATGTCCTGCCCAAGACCAAGGGCGTCAATATCTTTGCCCGATTGACGCGTGACTTTGAGCCAATCGCCAATCGCCTTAACGATGCATCCAAGAACATTACAGTTCTAGCACCCCGTAACAGTGCAATTCAGGCTCTTCCGCGGAAGCCTTGGGAGAATCCAGAGGACTACAAGAAGTTCGGAGAGGTAACTGCATATGAAGGCCAGGATGGTCAAGACAGGGCAAAACGGAACCTGCAACGATTCGTGGAGGCACATCTCATCCCTGCTAGTCCCTGGAGGGTCGGGGAAGAGATTAAGACACTTGCAGGGGAGAAGTTGAAATGGACAAAGGAGGGTGATAAGGTCTTTGTAGGTTTTGTCCCCTGCGAGTGTCGTTGGTATATTAACTGTCTATAGATCCAACCTGGTAATATTGAAGTGGATTCAGTTGCGGAGAAGGTCCATAATGGGGAAGTCTGGATTTTAAATGATGTTATTAATTACCGTCAAGAGTGATTGGATATGATTTATGAAGTACGAGTTACGGAAATTGTGCAATATGGATCATTCAACAACTCTTGAAGTAAATTATGCAGATACAAGATTGCAGCTTATTTGAAAACATGGCACATTCTATTCTTTCTGCTGTTCAAAGCCAGCGATGACCTCAAGACAGGTATATACACCAACACTAGACAT